CATGGAACCGCGCCCGGAGCAATTTGGTTTTCATGTTAGATATGGAAAATGCGTATGACAGGGTGTGGCACGAGGACCTGCTACACAAGCTGTCATTGTCTGGTATGCCGCTCCGTATATTCAAGGTAATTGCGACTTTCCTAGAAGACAGAAGTTTCACCGTTGCGGTGGAGGGTCATCTGTCCTCACCGAGTCCAATCCTCGCTAGAGTGCCCCAACATTCACAAATAATATACCAGCATTTAACGGTGTCAAACTTGCACTTTATGCGGATGACACCGCCTACATAGACTCCTCCATCCAACCAAACCACGCTGTAGCGAAACTGCAGCCTACGTTGGACTCCCTCACGAAATGGCTCGACCAATAGCGCATGTCGGTCAACGTAGGAGAGACGCAAGCAATGATTGTAGGACTACAAGGAATATTCCACCACCCCAGGATTCGAGACGAAAACATCCCCTGGCGCATCACAGTCACCTTGGAGTGACCATCGATCAGCGGCTGAAAATGACACACCAAGTTACCGAAACTGTGACCAAAACGAAGTGGGTCAGAGCTCGCCTGCAGGCCGTTCTAAACAGCAGCCTCCCAATCCATACGAATCCCGGAAGCGTACAAGAAGCGTCTCAAGATACAACAGAATCAAATACTCCGCCACATAAGAGAAGCTCCACGGTATGTTAGAAATACCACAATCCACAGGGACCTCAATATGGACACCATTTATGACCACATTGCAAGTCTTACTCGCAACCTGGGCCACACTCCGACTACCCGCCTAAACATGATCATAATATGATTACCCTCATATTGACGATACTACCCTCCCCCACACTTTAAGTCGACCGAATGCTCACAGGTCGCTCACTGAGCCTCCATCATGGGTCTCACCCGGTGGGGCTGGACCGGGCTGAGGGCGGTGTTTGAAGCTGTGTTTAAGGAAGGGTTTGACCCAAATGACCGCCTCATTCTGAAAATGAGGTGTGATCCCGCTACAATGGAAACACCATGAAGCTCGAACCATTTCCCGCGCGCCTGCGACGCGCGAGAAGAAGAAGAAGTTAGCCATTAGTACCGAGTAGGGAAATTAAAAGCACGTCGCTTGTACACTTCTGGACACATCTATTGGCCCACCTTAGAGTTTAGGTTTCGATGGCCCCTACCGAAATATGATTGCTAGATTGAACAAAAACTGTTGATGCAGTTTTAAACCTGATACATTTTACCATCTTTTTCGATCGTATTGTTTTAAATTTGAATTCAGAATACCATACGACATGGAGCTACGCCTAACAAGTCGGATATGCGCCTTGTTAAAGGCAATTGATTTTTGAATAAAAAACGTGTTTTATCAAATAAAGGTTTAATTTAATAACGCGTGTTGCCTCCATGGGCATCTACCACAGCTCTCATACGATTAGGCATAAAGTTTATCAACCGCTCTATGAAATTTTGAGGGATTATCTCCCATTCCTCTTCTATGGCAGTTTTCAACTCCTGCATCGTCTGGGCAACTGGCTGACGAGCTTAACACGTCTTTTTAGTTCGTCCCACATATGCTCAATGGGGTTCATGTCTGGGCTTCTGGCTGGCCAGTCCATAACTGTGATGTTCACATCCCGAAGATATTCCCTGACGATGCCGGCCGCATGGGCTCTTGCATTATAATGCATAAAAAGGAAATTTGGGCCCACATAGTCCGCGTATGGTATCACGTGAGGTTCTAAGCACTCACGAATGTACCTTTCAGCATTTAATGTTGGCAGCCGTGGTCCTGTAACAACCTCAAGTTGAGTTTTACCGCTCGCGGATATACCGCCCCAGACAGTCCATGAGCCACCGCCATAAGCAACCCTCTCTTCAAAGCAGCATTGTGCGAAACGCTCTCCCTTACGTCGGTAGACCTTCTTCCTTCCATCATTGCCATGTAACACAATTTTAGACTCATCAGAAAAGAGTACACGGCTCCAATCTTGCTGTGTCCAATTTAAATGACTGCGTGCGAAATGAAGGCGCGCTGTTCGGTGGGCTCGCGTTAGTTTGGGCCCATTAGCTGGCTTGTGTGGTACCATATCGCGCTCTTTTAACCTTCTCCGAACAGTTCGAGCGCTCACAGATACTCCGTGGAAGTCGCGAATTTGTTTTTGTATCTCAATGGAGGTAAGGTGACGATTTCTCAAGCTGGTCGTCACGATGAATCGATCCTGCCTTTCAGTTGTGACCCGAGATCGTGGCCTTCCTTGGCGACGAACAAAGCCGCCAGTCTCTAGGTACCTCCGATAAACATTTCGGACCGCAGATCGACTTAAATTAAGTTGAGCACTCACGTTTCTTTGGCTGTGTTCGGCCTGAATAAGTGCCACAGCTTGGGCGGCGACTTCAGGTGAAGTATCCATAGATTATTGATAGAACCTCACCTTAATGTTAAGAATAAGTAATGTTTGTTGCAAAACCAAAGATATCAATCACTTTTTCAAGAATTAAATCCAAGTAAAGCCGTATACAGAAAGAAAGCCGAAAGCCGATCGGCGCCGATCGGCGCTTATCGGCGCCGATCCTTCCTACATAAAGGAAGCCGATTAAAGCAGATCAAGCAAAATGTCGGACTCATCGGACGATGATTTGGTTTTGTTAGAAAATGTTTATTTAAAAATGCGAAAAACAGCTATACATCCTATAAATAGAGAAAGGAAACGTTTCGGAGAATACCATCATTTATTTGTAAAAAAAATTAAATTTGATGAACAAAGATTTTATACATATACAAGAATGATTCAAGAAACATTTTATTACATTTTGGATTTAGTGAAAAACCGTTTGATGAAAAATTGGGCCAATTGGCATAAACAACCAATCCTTCCTGAAGAAAGACTTGTTGTCACCATTCGGTAAGTACGAAACAAATAATTTTAGCGCTTAGTTAATAAAAGATAAAGTTATTAGATTTATAAAAAGATTATAACTTAGATTGATTTAATCTAAGGATAATAATTCAAATACAAATTATTTATTATTCGGACCAGCGCGTGGCGGCACGCTCCGATCGGCGCTGATCGGCGCCGATCGGTTTTCGGCTTTCTTTCTGTATACGGCCTAAACCAATAAAACCAAGTCTTCTTAAGCGGCGTTTAAACGGCGCGCAAACACGCAAGCCGAGCCTGGCTCCGGTCGTGGTTCGCCGCGCCACGCGCTGTGTAAACAACTGCGCTCGGCGCGGCTCGGCAAAGTTCGCACGATCCATCACTTGTCGGTTTTTTCGACACAGATCAAAGGCGCGCGCGCCATCCGCGGCTCGGCTTGTGTTAATACGCGCCGTCTAAACAGATGTCACAGAGCGCGCGACGAAGGAAGATCTTTTTTGTTTTTTTAGCGAAGTTTTTAATTGGGGATTGGTTTTGTACGAGATGGAGTGGAGCAACGAGAAGATTCAACTCTTCATTGAATTGTACGAAGAGGAACCGGCCATATGCCACCACCGTCTTTTTCGTCTTTCTTTTGTTTTTAAATATTCACCACCAAGCAAAATAACAGTAGCTGCTGCTGCAGCAAGGCGTTTTCTTTTATCCATATAGAAGAATGAACAAGCGGACAGCTCGGTTCAACAGCGCGATGTGTAGCCGCCACGGACGGCTCGGCTGGCGTAGGATCGTGCTACCCCGCGTCGTTTAAACGAGCAGGCTTGCGTCCGTATTTAGCCGAGCCGCATCTCCACGGACGGCTCGGCTCGCGTAGGATCGGGCTAGCCCGTGTCGTTTAATCGCGCCTTTAGTATTCGATTGTTTGATATCAACAAACAGGCTCCAAATTGTCTTTTGTTTCTTTAAATTCTGTGTTCGAAATTCAAAAAAGACTATTGAATGAAATTGTGAATGCGCCAGGTTCAAAACTGCATAAAAACTTTTTGCTCGACCTAATATAAAATTTTAGCTAGGACCAAACGAAACTGAAAATACAAGGTGGGCCAATAGATGTGTCCAGAAGTGTATGTAAGACACTGTAAAGGCAGAACTATATTTATCTTATGTGTTGTATTGTGACGTGATCTGACGCGATCGGTTTCATACATTTACTACGGTTAGAACTATACTTGAGTTGTGGTTGTTGTTGTTACGATGTGACGACATTGTTCTCACTCTAACCGTACTAAATGTACTTATGTAACAAATAGTTCTCTGATGCGCCATAACACAACACATCAGATAAATGTAGTTCTGCTGTAACACAACAAGTGACGTGTACTAATAAGTTCCGCTATTCTGCACTAGATAGGAGTAGTGTAACGTTTGGACGAGTTTAATTCATACATTTTATTAATGCAGTTATTTTATAGGTATCTAAAAAAATACTACAATCAATAAAATTTGTCTCAGGAACCGGGCAGGATTCAAATGTGTGCGTTACTGCGATCGGTAGGTAGGTTTATTCGTATCACCGAGCTAATTAGTGATCCACTAAGCCAGAAACATATGACATATATACGTGTCGCGTCTCGTCGACCCTTTCATCTCTCTCTCTCTCTCGTTCTAACAATAAATGAATAACTAATAAATATATGAAACCGATGCATCACGATATGCCACGACACGTTATTTTGTTTCTGGTTTAGGATACTTGTTCTGAAAAGCATCGATGGATATGCATTTTTCTTTTTAATTACACACTGTAAATGTCATAAAAGTAAGCGAATATGCCGGCGGAACTATATTGGACTAAGTAAAGCCGAAAATTGTTTGTCTGTCGTTTTGGGTCGTGACGTGACGCGTCACAGGGGTATCGGTTTCATACATTTCGTACGGTCAGAATTATATTAGTGTGTCGCGATGTGTCGATACCGTACTGACTCTAACCATCCTAAATGTATGAAACCGATATCTCTCTGACACGTTCGTCACGACACAAAACGACAGACAAATATATTTCCGGCTTAACTCATTGTATGGCATCTGTTTGGTCTTTATAACCTTTGCCTTTACGTATCGATGAAAAACTTAAATAATTTATTAAACATTTTTGTTCGTTTGTTTGATTTTGTTTCAATTTGAAGTTTGAACCAGAAAGTAACCACTGGTTTTTGAAGTTTTGATTTTGATTTGATTAAACTCGGATTGAACATAATGAACTTGAACTTTTATTATTACATGACCACAAGGGTTTTGTGTTGTAAAAATATCTGGTCAGTGAATGGTGAATTATTTTAATCTTGAAAACTTCCCTAAGAATGACACTTCCAAGAAAATATTTAATAAAGGATTTGTTAAATATAACCCCACCGGTGGAAGTATGGATACAAGGGATTATAGAACAAGCCGTTGGCAAAGACATATTAATTATTTCCGACTCATCAGGCAGAGCAAAAATAACAAAATGTGAATCTGCAGATGGTGTTATTGATAAAAACTCACTGCAAAGAGGTACATCGATCTGACATGTGCACTATTTCTTAGATACTGAAACCATCTTTTTGTGGATTACTGTTTTATCTGTTTTTATTTTGGATCACCCACTCTTTTTGGTATGTAACACATCATTAAGGTCCTGGTTCAATCATCTGCAGCTTTTGTTCCTTCTGATTTTCAGTACCTTCGCACAAGAGCTATGTTCTTGGAAACAGAATGATGTATGATGCTATAGAGTACAGAAAGCAAAATATATTTCATATTTGTTGCAGTCAATTAAAAAATATGATACTTTTGAATAACCTACTGTAACTTAAACTTAAACAATCTTAATCCTACATTATTAATGGGAAAGTTTGTTACTAAATCACAGAAAAGCTACTAAACAAATTTGGATGAACAATTTGATACATATATAGTTTATGCCCTGGATTGAGGCAAATGATACTTCTTACCGTGGGATAATGCGAAAACACTTTAGTTTTCGCATTATCCCTTTTACTCCCCATTACCGCAGACGAAGTTGCATGTGGCCACTAGTTAATTATTAATTCTGTAAGCACTAACATTGATTTATTTTATTGAATATTTTAAGGTATTTATTGCTGCATCATAGGAACAGCTGTAAAAACAAAAGGTTTACCAGAAGTGCAAGCTGGCAAATTCATTGATTTAAGCTCCAAACCTCATATGAAGGATGTATGGGATTATGAAGTAAAAGAAGCAGATTTTCTACTCCAAGGGAAAATTAAACTTTCAGTATAAAATATTTTATTAACATATATTACAATATAAATATAAACAGCTTAGCCTATTGGAATCAATATTTCTATGTATATTAATATGTAAACACTTATAACATATCCCATCCCAACAAAAATCAAATTTTATAGTATTCTTGTTGACAATACTATTAACAAATGCAATTATAACTGAAAAATATTCCATTTTATGCACCTACACATTATCATATCACATATAAGTAGATTATATTTATAACTTGGCATCACTCTTGAGCAGTGGTCCAAGCTTTTGGGCAAGCATAATGTTGCCAGAGATCTTAAGTTTGCCCTTCATGAATGCAACTTGTGGGTTGAGAGCCCCTGATGCTACTTCTACCATATCTGCATCAGATATGGTGATAGTTGTGTCAGGTTTGCCACTAGCTCCTTCAATGATTGCTGGAGTTTTGAAGTCCAGGGCTGAAAATAAAGAGTAAATATTAAGTTCAGCATTGGAGAAAAGTAATTTTAAACTGGAATCACCTTTAATATAATAACTAAGTTATAACAGTATGTACCTATTATTTTATGGTACATACTGTTAGAACGTAAGTATGTATTAGAGTATTTTTAGGTGAGTAAGTTTCGCAATTGAAAGATTACCATTTTACAACATTGAAATCTATATTGAGCAAAACAATTTGAACCAAAAAAATGGATTTATTACTTCAATTGATGACCTCCGTGGCAGAGTGGTTTGTACGCCGGGTTTCATGGTGTCCCCAACTCGAATCCCCGGTTCAAATCCCAGTGGGGCAGATGTTAGGGTATATATGACTCCAGTCATATATAAATATACAGTATATGTATTCTATCTGTTACCCTAGTACCCCCTAACACAAGCCTATAGTGCTTACTTTGGAGCTAGGCTAACTGGTTGAGCATTGGAAATATTTATTTAATTGTATTTTTTTATCTCATAGGTTCATTTGAAACTAACCAGGATTGAATATCTTTGATATGATACTTACTCCATTGTTTGACAGTCTTTCCATTTACAGTGATATTGTACAAGAATACACCATTGATGCTTTTTGCCTTGGCAACATTGTTAGCAAGTTCAGTTTTGATCTTTGTGAAAACTGCATCACTTTTAAGGTCTTCGGATGCAGAAGCAGCAGATGGACGAACTGTACCAACATTCTTCAAGTCCACATAAGCACCTAGGAAAAGTTTTAAAATCTTAGTAATTTGCATCAACAATCAAAATATTTTCTTTAAATAGGTAGTATAATTTAAAATGATTAATGATTATAATTATTTTAAAACCCAATTCCAGTTTTTTTAAAGAATAAGATAATGCTTCTCTGCTTATTTCATGGCAGTTATTAATAAAGACGATTATTTGTAAATATTATCATGAACAATATTTTAACTCATCTACGAGTATGAAGAGAAAACACAAAATTCTTTGTAGTTAACTTGTTGAAGGGAGTTATGATAAGACATCATAATTACCTGTGATAACGACATTGCCAGTCTCCTTGAGTTTCGTTTGGAAATGCACACGCTTGCCCTCAGCCCACATTTCGGTAACAAGTGTTTGTCCTGGTAAAACTGGCTTAGCGAAACGAACTTTGATAGCTTTCACGTTGGCAGGATTGTTGTCGCCAAACCTTAACAAAATAACTACAATTAATAAAACCTACAGAATTCTTTCTAATTTTATAATAGGCTTAAATTTATCACAATCAAATTAAAGCCTATGCTAAAATATACATACTGTGTACTGGGTAGAAAATCAGATAACAGATATATTGTTTTAAATGTTACATCTATTCAAGGCAATTCAGTGGAATGAAGTTAATATGATATTAATTGAAAAAAATATGTTCACTGTTATCTTTTAATCACATTTTTATATGATAAACGATATGATAAAAAAAAATAATCAGTTGTACTTACTGAGCCAATACGTGTCTAACAGAGAATCCGAGGGAAGCTAGTCCGTGTAGAATAGGCTTAGAATGTCCGCTCACAACCGCTACATTGGGGTCGATGTGAAGGGGGTTCAGATCGCCAGACAATCTGCAATACAAGAAACTTGTTACTAAACATACAGCGATGATAATAATCATAGAAACTATATTTCCGCATCTAGTTTTAATTTTTAACTCCTAATTTTTGTAGGTAAAGGTAGGCACTTAACCCAATTTAATTAATGATGATACCTTATTAAGGGCCTTATTTATATCAAAGTTAAAATTAAGTATAAACAGTCAAAATTCACTAGTGTAGTAAAACTAGTGAACCTTAGAAAAAGTAAAAGTAAACTCTAACAAACTAAGTAGCTCCCCAAACCGGTTTTGCTCTATACTCATGTAAATGTGTCCAAGTATTACAAAATATGATGTATACAAGAATAGCATGAAACAAGGAAAACGCAAAACAACAACATATCAATAATACCTACTTAAATATGTTTTTACTCCGAATAGGAACTAAATAATTATGATTACAATCACGATACACAGCACAACACTCATTCAATCCAACTATAACGCCATACTAAATAAATGCTACGCTATGACGATGTTCAAAGGTTATAAAGCAATGGTCAAAGGTTATAAACGTCAGATCATTACTTATTCATGAGTAGGTAGGAACCTAATTTATGCTTATTTAATTTAACTTGAATGCCTTGAAGTTAGACTAAAGCTGAGTTATCACACGTTTTTGTGGTCATATCAGGTTCTGGTATGTTAAATTATAGCTCTTGTTGTTTGTACATCGTATTTATCGTATTCTAATCACTTTTTATATAAGCAATTAAAAAGATTGAAGATAGTTTTGTTTCTCTGTGTATCAGTATAATTTGTATTCTATCCCATAACACAAGCCTATAGTGATTACTTTGGGGCTAGGCTAATTGGTGTGAGTGTTGGAAATATATAATTATTTTATTTTATATGCTCCAGTAGTGGGGGGTTTATAGGCTGGTGACGATGAATCCCTACTAATACTTTAAATGAGATAGTGTATCTAATATCTGTTACCTCTTCATGCTTAAACCACTAGACCGATTTCGATGAATTTTGGTATAATGATTTTTCAGATTTGAGTATAGGGAAAGGACATAAAAAAGGATTATCCCAGAAATCTCATTTTAAAGAGTTGAAAAGGTTTGTATGGGAAACCAATCTTTCCACGCAGACGAAGTCGCGGGCACCTCCTATTGTTTATATAAGCGGCTCAATTCTGAATCTTAGTCAATGTACAAAAATTTAACCACCTTCTAATTTCGGGTCAATGACCTTACCTATACAAAGCAGCTTGATCTTCAGCAGTACATGCTTTACAACAGCATCTGTTTTCCTGTTAGGAGCGTCTGCAGCGCGGTTGCTCTTCCTGGGGCCATTGAAGCCTGCTGTCCTTTAAAGGGACCTCTAATTTTAGGTAAATGACCTGATCTATACGAAGTAACTATGGTCTTCAGCAGTACGTTGCTCGACAACAGCATCTGGTTTCCTCTTAGACGCAGGCTGTACGTCTACAGCGTGATTACTCTTCCCGAGGCCCTTGAACCTGCCATCTGATTTTATGTTAATGACCTTACCTATACAAGGCAGCTTGATCTACAGGGGTGAAATCCTCGACAACAGCATCTGGTTTCTTCTTAGGAGTAGGCGCCTACAGCGTAATTGCTCTTCCTGGGGCCATTGAAGCCTGCTAACCTATAAAGGGACCCTTAACTTTAGGTCAATGACCTTACCTATACAAGGCAGCCTGATCTACAAAGGTGAATTCCTCGACAACAACATCTGGTTTCTTCTTAAGAGTAGGCGCCTACAGCGTAATTGCTCTTCCTGGGGCCATTGAAGCCTGCTGACCTATAAAGGGACCTTTAACTTTAGGTCAATGACCTTACCTATACAAGGCAGCTTGATCTACAGAGGTGAATTCCTCGACAACAGCATCTGGTTTCTTCTTAGGAGTAGGCGCCTGTAGCGTAATTGCTTTTCCGGGGGCCATTGAAACCTACTGACCTACAAAGGGACCTTTATCTTTAGGTCAATGACCTTACCTATACAAGGCAGCTTGATCTTCAGCAGTACGTTGCTCGACAACAGCATCTGGTTTCCTCTTAGGTGCGGGCTGTACGTCTACAGCGTGGTTGCTCTTCCTGGGGCCATTGAACCCGCCCTGGCCAACAACGAAGATGTGCTGTTGTGTGCGATACAACAGTTGCTTGTCTTGGTAGATTTCACCTGAGAATATTGGAGAGATTTAAGTAATGCTATAATGAATAAAATAATATCTTTATTCATATATTGTTATAATATAAATAATCGTATATAAAAATATTTGATAATAGTCTCTCCTTTTTATTTCTTCACAGAGTGCGATATGGCTATACTGCTGGTTTCAACAAGGAGATTCTCAATTCGACAGTATTTTTTTTGTACCGTTTGTTTTTATGTTTACAGGTACTTCCCAGCATGCAGCAGCAGACAACAAAGTCTTAAATTTGTTTTATGTTTGTGCGCGACAAATGGACGAATAACTTCAATATCATCGCAACTGATTTTGATGATCATTTTTTTGTTTGAGAGAGTTTGTTAGCGAGATGTATTAATTTGGTGATGATCAGACAAAAAGACAGGTTTGGTGTATTACAGAGAGATCGCAGATCAGACATCTATTTTAGTAACTAAATTGATGCTGCTCTGGCTGATAAAAAGTAAAAAAACAAATTATTTAACAAAAAATAAAATAGCCATGTTGAGTGCGAGGTTAACATTTATGAGATATATTACAAAACTTTGTATCCTTTTTTATATAGAGTAATGATATTTTTTATTTAAGTAAAGCACGAAACTTTTTGCTTAACTTTAATACACTAGAAAGACAATGCCAGAAGTTCTATAGAGGTTTAACCCACCCGATAAAAATGGTGTACACGAATGCGATAAATGATATTTCATAGCTGTAATATAAGGAATCAAAATAGTAAAGTTGTAAATTCTCTAGAAGCTGTGGTTATTGAATAATATACTTACAAAGAGTACAATTATCATGAGTTTCTCGAGCTGCATTCTTAGATTAAAACAAAAAGGGTAGATACGGCACTAGCCTCACAAAAGTGATCCGCACAAATTGTGGTCCACGACCCTAATCGCTTTAGTCAGAACTTGACATGCAAACGACGTACATGTGAACGCCAAAAAGAAATATTGATAATATTTTGTCTTTATATGATAAAACAATGCCTAAGTATGTTTTTAAAAAGTGTTTAATTTGCTCAAGAACTAAAAATAAAACCCACGGCATCACTTTTCATTCGTAAGTACTATAAAATATATTTTTTCATAAAAATTGCTGTTTGTTTTCAATCTTATTCGATAGTGACGTCGAGTACTGGTCGCGTGATTGGTCGGTAGTGCAGTGACGCAGATCTTGCCCTCTCTTTCGCGCTGCCGTTGAAACTTAACGTGCTGTTTCGTTCGGGTCGGTAATGCAGTGACACGGATCTCGCCGTTCCGTCCGCGCTGCCGTGGGATCGGTTTTTGTTTGATGCAAGTATGAGCGTACCGTATCTACCCTTTTTGTTTTAATCTAAGGCTGCAATTTGAGCAGAAAATTGGATTTTTTATAAATTATTCAACAGCGTCCGTATTGTAGCTGATATTGTATAAACGACATGCCTTTGTATTCTATCGACACATAAATAACAATTTATGCATCTCAACATGGTTCCAAATCACAAACGACAATGGTGTCGATTCCGGCGTGATTCTCTAAACCTAAACTTAAATTTGACAGCAGTATATCCTTGTTATTCTCTATACAAAATGAAAAGGAGAGACTGATGTTAAATTTAGTTTTAAGTTTAGAGAATGACGCCAGAATTGGCACCAATGTCGTCCAAATCCTTTTGTTTGACGGAAATGTCAATCAAAAGGATATCAATCCAAAAAAAAATGGGTGCGTGTACTTATGTAGGCGCGTGAGAAGTTATCCTTCTTTGGCATCGTTTAAAATTAGTTTTTAATTGCATGCAAATAATTAATTACAATAAATTAATAATAAATTTCATTTCATTTCAATGTCCCGTTCAAATCTGCCCTGTTTGCTTTGTTCAAATCTGCCCCACGGTCACTTGGAAAATAAAATATTACAAATAACGCGCCCGCGGCTAACTTCATTATGTTAAAATTTTGTGTTACAGTGATGAAAATTTCACTCTCATAATTTTTTCATAACGCGGCTAAAGAAGTATAACTTCAATAACGTTTAGTTTCACATAGGTACTACTACATAATAATGTGTATGCGCATAAAAAATGCAAGGTACTATAATCGTTAAACTTTTTTATAAACATAAATTATTTATATTTATAACCGAAATGCTTATTTTATCCATATGATTAAAAAAGAGAACGATATTTTTCGAAAACTTGATTGGCATTTTATTGTTTGTCGTGAAACAAAACGCTTATGCCATGTTTTCGTTCTTCTCCTAACGGAAACAGTAGATACAAATTATTTTAATACCTATTTATTTCGTATCCGCCGCTTTTACAAAGTAATAATTAAATCGGTACGAGAAAAAAAGTCGTATATATTTTTTCATAAATCTAATATTACTGTATATGGTGGGTCAAAATCTGTCATTGTCATTTGTGATATTTCAGTTAGATAGAACATTTTTTCTTTCCTTACCTTCATATAAAACTACCATTGTGATTGCATTAGGTGGCTATAAAAACAAATATTCTGTAAGGTTCTTGCATGTTGTTAATTTTGAAAGTCACCTTTCAATTTATTGCAGTACCTTTGGTATTTTGTTTGCCAGTAGTCTTTCTATTGATTTGTTATATGATTTTTTTGGTTCATATAATCGATACTCACTATTAACAATGGCCACTGCGCTGGAACTCTTGTCCAATATGTCCACCACGTAGCTTCGAACTTCGAAGGTTCCCTCTGTACCGGGGAAATCACCAACGAACTCTATGTACTGTTCGCCATGTAGAATCTACAAGAACAACGTTTATTGATGTGTAACATCTTTTCTCTTGCTTTCCTGCAATTTGTGGGAGTGATTTCGTAAAATGGGACGGAAGTGTGTAACAGAATCTCGCGAAAACGCGCGCTATTTGATTTGATTTTAGAACATAATGTTCAAATGGCTTATTCCTTTTGTAGTAGGTTTTATTTCTTGTTTTACTAATATAAGGTGAGGTTTCAAATTTACACATCATACGCGACTACTGTAAGGCTCGCTCGTTTTTCGATGTGAGTTAATGAAAAAAAGGGAATAAATATATTGTTTTAAACTTTCAGAGTCACTAATATTGTAGTAATTTATGTTATTTACGGGATTGTTACCATGTACCTTGTTTTTGGCCTGTCCACGATATATTTGGCATTGTAGCAAGCGCAATAATCATGAAATAACTTACTATACTCCTTCATCATGACGCTTGCAGCGGTGCCGAAATATCGGGGATTCACCAAAAACAAGGTATGTACGTATAGTAGCAATCTCGTAAATAATATAAATTACCATAAAGGGAATAAATGATCACTTAGAAATACAATTGGTAAACAAAAGGTTATGTTACCAATTGAGGTGCTGGCAAAAAAAGGGTATAATTACGCATCTGGTCAAACTACTTTTTTTACAGTCCGGTACCCCTAGTATGAGTTTTAATTGTTTTCGAATTCGATCAATCGTATCGTCTCGTTTCCATACATTGACTAGCAGCGCCCCTAGCGTTAACTATCAAAAACAAAAATCAGCAGTATGAGTTTCATCGAGTGATCGTAAAACGAAAACTACCAAAGTTTTCGTATGTCATTCGCATTTTGGCAGTACAAGTTACAACTTTGACAGCGCGTCATGAGTATACTGCGACGTTTGATCGTATCGTCACTCGATTAGAAACTTTCAGTGACTAAGTGTTTCAGGCCAAGTTTTTATGCAAATATAATAATTTTTTCGGCACAATATTTAGCTCTCATGCTCGCTGAAGATATTGACGAAGACCAGCGTGCACAGGAACGACGGGAATTATTACAGCGGAGGCGATTAACTTCTTTTATCACCGACAGGCATTTTGTGTAAAGTATATATATATATTTTTGATTTGTAACATCTTTCCTCTCGTTTTCCTGCAATTTGGGGGCTTTCCTGCCCTTCGAAATGAGACGGAAGTGTGTAACAGGAAGTAGCGAAAGCGCACACTGTTTGATTTGATTTTAGAACATAATGTTCAAATGGCATTTCTTTTGTAGTAGTTTTTTTTACTAATATAAGGTGAGGTTTTAATTTTATTTCTTTACAGCCTTGAAGTCAACCATACTGCCAAGTTTCACACACAGATAAACGTAGGTTCTATACTCTTTGGACATACATTAATAAGATTAAGTCTAGAGTTTTACATAGATTAGCTTTGTTTAAAGTTGAATTGGGAGTTTTTAGCGCGATTTCATCGAGTGCGGTTGGCGTCTTATTTTAATTATTCTTAAATTCGTTCATAGTGGTAACAAAATTGGTGTGATTTTGTGTTACAACGGTCTGCGCAACTAAAGAATTAGTGGAATCTTGAAAATATACGCTATTCCGGTCAAGTGGACGTGAGAATTTTATGGTATGTTGGCTACCTCACAAAAGCTTATTGAAAAAGCCAACTCGATACATCTCGTGCCAAACATTCCATGAAACATTAGAACGTGTCACACCGACATTCTAATGTAAAAAAAATAAGATCATTATAACATAAGTTTAGGCTGTATGGGCATTGTTCCCTTTGCCTTCCATAAAAAGAGAGAATCTTTTAAAAAAAAGGTTAAATTGAACGAATGGATGGCTCAGCTATCTCTTTTTTGGCAATAAAGTGTGAAGTTCGTTTAATCGAGTCATCGAGCATACGATATCGTGAAAACGAGGAGTGAAATTCTATACTCGTACTGCGACACAATTCGAAAACGTAAAGTTTGATCGATTCGACGAAGACGATCGTTCGTTTCGTATTAAAAAAACTCATACTAAGGGTACGGAGGTTTCGGGCCCATTGAATTTGAATCTCAAATAATTTTCAATCAAAACTGCCTAAAACAGTGTTGAAATTACTAAATTTATCAAATAAAAACCATGCCAAAAGCTCACTGGAGGTATGTCATTCAGTTTTATACAGCTCGCGTCAAATTTAATTTTGTGTAATTATACCGTTTTGTTCGCCAGCTCCTCAATTACAATTTATTTGATGATCGTTTAAATAAGTGCCGAAAACAAAACCTAAACGAGACGACAGTTGAAGCCGCAAATAATGGGTGTTGAGATATTTTCCCAGTTAAATTTGTACACTAGAGACTATCCGAACTTTTTTAAATTAAATAGAATAAGTTAAGGACAGTTTGCACCAGATTTTTTTATTTTTACAAATGGTAGCAAAACAATCGCGACTCACTTATCGTTAGTAAAAAAAAATAACATTAAGTAAATTACTGTTTATATATAATAATAATAATATCTCACATTCTATCGTAGTGATCACCAAACAAGTTAAGCCGTAAGTACCGGCAGCATCTACAGTAGTTCATCACTAGCCTTTTAATGTCCCCACTGCTGGGGTACAAAGGAATAGAGAGATTAGGCCATGACCCCCACGCGGGCCCAGTGCGGGTTGGTGGGTGCTAATACTTGCAGATGCAGCGAGGACCCACGGCTTAACGTTCCTTCCGAAGCACGGAGGAGCTCGAGATAAAAAGTTTTGGTCACACATTCAATGACCGACCATTGCGAAAGTGCTATCCACTTCACCATCGAGCTCCTCCTACAGTAGTTTACACCAAACAAATTAAGCCATTAATCGCGGCTGCATCTACAGTATTTATCACCTATCAATCCACATTGAGTGAGCCCGGTGCAGTTGTCAGCTTATCATCAGTATGGGATAATCTAATATATACAATTCTCGTGTCACCAGTGTTTGTAACAAAACTACTATGGAACCAGATCGCCGATTCTTATATTTTTTTTGAGTATATTCAGTTGGGCTGTGACTATTCTCAGACCTACTACCTACACGAAAACTATTTTTCGTACATTTTTTCTATGATTCGGCATTATAAAATACATACAACCCTACATTTCGACCCATCTACTACCAACCTCTATTTTTTTAACTAGTACGAAGTTCAAAGGGTCAGCTAGATCATCATCATCAGCGTATACATTCATGTCCCCACTGCTGGGGCACAGACCTTCCCTATGGATGGAATAGGGAGATTGGGCCATGACCCACCACGCGGGCCCAGTGCGGATTGGCGGGTGCTAACGGCTGCAGATGCACCAACGGCTTAACGTGCCTTCCGAAGCACGGAGGAACTCGAGATAGAAGATTTTTGGTCACACATCCAATGACCGACCACTGAGAAAGTTGCGTAACTTCAACTATCACAGCCGCACCCGCAAACCACCCGCGCCATCGAGTTCGTCAGCTAGATATCTATTAATATTTAAAACCATTTACTAGAGGGAAATTGGTAATAAATTATCGGACTTACATTGGTGAAATCAGCATGCTTGCCGGGCGGCATGGCGGCGGGCACCAAGGGCGCTTCCATGCACATTCCGGCGAGGATGAAGAACGACGGCAGCGCCGTGAAGTTCTCGTGACTCTCGTACAAGAACTTCAGATCGCTCGGGTTTACGACTGACGAACCGACTGCAAGGAAAATACATATAAATAAATATAAATATTTTCAACACCCACACCAATTAGCCTAGCCCCAAAGTAAGCACTGTAAGGTTTGTGTTATGGTATACTAGGGTAACGGATAGAGTACATGTACAGAACATATATAACTATATTTATGTAGAAATACATATTTAACATCCATGACTGGAGTACAAATGCTCGTATTCATCACACAAACATCTGCCCCCACCGGGATTCGAACCCGGGACCTCTCGAGTCGGCGATACCATGAAACCCGGCGTACAAACTACTCGACCAAGGAGGTCGTCATATATATTGACGATATTTACCCACGTAGATAAAAAGCTATACTTCTTCACACATTAAGCACATAAATAGATAGAACAGAAGGTAATCTGCTTTCTAGCAAATTTTTCTTTAGATTTAAACAGAAATAAAGCAGGTAAATGCTTAATATAAAAATACAGTAAACTATTTTGATACTCCATATTTGCATTTAAAAGTTCGCAGACGCGCGTCTCAAGCAGAAGGAATTCGCGATCGCAGTGGTCCCAAGCGGTCCGAAATATTGTCCGTGAGCGGTCTATGTGTGCGTTGCTCTAGCGCACTTTGTATGCATACATCTAGTGTAAATATGTGAGCGATGTCTATGTATGCTTTGCTCGAATTCGAATGAGAAACTGTTTCTTCCGCCCGGATAGCGGGTAAAATAGTTATTGTAACTGTTCAGTGGACGGTTGTTTGAAATCAACATTAAACAGTAAATTGTCATTTATTGAGGCTATTAGTTGTCCCGCTTTCTCTCTTCAGAGGCTGAATATAAACCACATCCTTCTCACTGCTACAACCGTACTTCCATAGTCCGTCAGTTTTTTCTATGTCGCCTAAAAGAGGCAGCTTTTCAGCAGTAAGACCATAAGCAGTTGTATGGTATGATGTCTTTATTTATAGAACAAATAAATCAAGCAGCTCATTTACTGAGTTACGTAAATTAATGTCATGTGTGAAGGTCAGCAAGGCACTTGTTATTTCGAAAGCATTGAAATGAATTAACACGTTAAATTAAATTATGTTCGAGGAAATATTCTTGTAGCCAGTTAAAAATAAAAAAATAAATGTATAGGTAAGTAGCTAATTTGAATCGTTACGAAACTAAGTACAACAAATCAAAATCATTGACAAGTAATCATGCACAAATTTAAAATAAAACGGATTTATCAAACATCTATATTTAAATAATGATTAATTAATTATAAAAAACCATCGTGTTAATAAGCCAGACGCTTCAACTAGACGTATGAGTACGCTGCGCAAGTGCAATGAACTGCTCTTCCATATCAACATGTTCGTAATAAATATTATAAACTAAGATACATACAACAATTATTTAATTGGGTCACTTTGAAATTACTATTATTAAATAATAAGTATTTGCAATTTTCATTTTCGTCGTGCCACGCACAGTCTATGTATCTCAACTAAAATACCTAAATCAAAGTCAAACTGCGTCTCAAACTCATAGTCAACGCCTATTTTTTTTGTTTCCTCCCAGGTGGGGGAGCGTGTGAGAAATCCTCATGGATACCCTAAAGCCAGCTGCAAGGTTATGTCAGACTCTAACTGACTAAAGCTTCATCTGAAGCGATTATCGATCATCTCCTTCTCAGAGGATGATGCGGTATAACCGCCGATCTTTTCAAGTGCTCCTATACTTTTTATAAAAACGTAAAGTTAGCGCGATTCATTAGCCGGTGCCGTTAGTACTCGCGGTAGCGTTGTGGAACTAATGAAATTTTATTGTGGTTTTTAAATAGCTTTTAGTGCAATGCAAGGTTTTACGCTACAATAACTTCATCTATGTCACTATCAATGTTTTCTTCTAAGGAATTATCATTAAGTAAGAAATTTTCTTTAACCAAAGTTGAACGAATATAAATCTATCTTAACCGTTATAGTTTTCCTTAAGTTCATGAACATCACTATTATCATGAATTTTTCATGATAATAGTTTAGCTTTTAGAGGGGAGGGGTTCGTGTAGGGCACATGAACAAAAATTAGCACTTTAAAGTTCAATATTTCGCAAACGGATCCCTTAATCGAAAAATACTCTTAAAAACCCCTTAGTGACTTGAAAGGACCTATTCAACGTAAACTCGCACGATGGAGTTGATGATGAAAAAAAATCTCAGTTTACATGTAGGGGAGCTACCCTAAAAAAACATATTTATAATTTTTATTCTACCATTTTATTGGTGTGATCGATTTACATATCTACACCAAAATTACAGCTCTTTAGTGCTAATAGTCTCCAAGCAAAACCGGGGAAGGTCAGACGGACATGACAAAACTATAAGGGTACGGCCCTTAAACAGAAATAAACAGTGTAGTCTAAGCAGGATGCCTGCTTTTTCTCGCGCTTGTTTTCGGAATCTGAATCTGAATCTGAGTGCACTCTGGCCGTACCCTAAGGGTTCCTTGTCAGGACTACGGAACCCTAAAAACACGTTTTACCATAAATGACGTTTATTGTCGCGTCCACAGTACAATGGTCATTACGCGAGGGCACGGCTAAAAATACGTTAAAAAATATAACTAAATATAGGTACTACACAAAACAATCATAAATACGCTTCAAATGATGAGGTGATTGACCAATAAAAAAAATATTTTTTTCGTGTGAACGGGCATAGGACGTGTATTTAAAATGTATTTACGTAAATAAAATTGTTCTCGTCTCTCCCCTTCTTCCCTCTCGAGTTAGTGGAATTCTACCAAGAAATTACTGATTACAGGAATCGATTATAGGCAGTGGACTAACAAACCTCAACATCGAACATTTAGAAAAGTGTGTTTTATATAAATAAAGCCCTTTTCATATTCTGCCATCTCATAAAAGTTCTGCAAACATTACTATTTTTATAATCTTACCTCCAAGAGCATACAGCAATAAGTCCTTAGCATCATAACTGTATTTCTTCCAGTAGCTGTTTTTGTCACCGTCTAATTTGGCTCTATCTTCAAATTCCTGCATGAGAAACAATTTAAATGAGAAAAGTCAAATCTTTTCATTTAAACATACTATACAAAGAACGATTTTTATTATTACTTATTCTTACGATGTGTGTTCAGTACTATGATGGTATGATAAGAACAAACTTCATCTTCTAATGCAGCTATACTCTAAGTGTGTTCCGCGGAACCCTAGGGTTCCGTGATACCTCTGTCGGGGTTCCGCAAGAATTTAGAAATAAAAAAATCAAAACACCTCTCTCTGGTCGCTCCGCGGCTGTGCGGACTCCGCGGCCGCGCGGAGACAAAACGCTATGAATGTTATTTATTTATTTATTTGTATTTGTATAAGCTTGTGTTACATTAGCTGGTACAATATCTCATAAGTTTGGTCTCAACAATTTTATACTTGTACAACGCGTTCGCTCTAAGTTTGCCGGTCTGTGGAATGCGCGTACCCTCCCCCACGTGACAACAAAACTTATAATGTGTCATAGTTTTACCCAAATATCTAACGTACACAATTTTTATTGTTACAATTAAATAAAAAATTTCGAACGTCATACACTCATACCTATCGCCAGCGGCAAACTTAAAACGAGCGGGTAGTATACTTGTAAGCGCTCAGTCTCTTTGATAAAAGCCGCCTCTGAATTAGACGCTATAGTTGTCAACTAGCGACTTTCGTCTCTAACTTCAAAGGATAAAGTCGATATTGTTTACAACGCTATTTTTAAATTTCTGTTTTTATTTTTGCTTTTTGTTTATCAAAGGTGCCGACTCGAGTATTTTCGAGAATATTTGAGATCGAGTCTAGGACTAAGTATAAAAGCGGCGATCGCGCGTTGGCGTCGTCAGTTGATGATTAGCGTTCGGAGCGATAAGTTACTACCTACTTACAAGCTCGCTAGCGAGAAACTGGTGTTCATTGTTTTACTGCCTGCTGTATTCTGTTGTCTCAGTTTTATACATTTCTTCCCTGTAGGTTCTAAATTTAGTCTCTTATACGCAGTAACGATTGTGCATTATTTAAACCCCACTATCCTGACTTGTAACATTATAAATAAAGAAGAATGGAACGTTGGCTTAAAGGTGTTAAACGTGTTCCAACAACATCTTCTAATGACGCTGAATGTTCAAAAGCAATGCGCGCGGAGAATTTAGCAATCACCGATCCAGAAGATGATGCCACGAGTGCCACGACGTCAAGCTCGACGGTTTCAAAGACGAAAAAAAGGAAGTATGATGAATCTTATATCAGTTTCGGATTTGTTGATTCCAACGGCTCACCTCTCTGCATGCTCTGTAGTAAACTGCTTCCTAATAGTTCCATGGCACCTGCCAAATTGCGTCGACATTTAGAAACCGTACACCCCGAGACTAAAGACAAGAATAAAGAATTTTTTGTTCGCAAAAAAGATCAGTTATTAGAAAGTCAAAAAAATATGATGCATGTAACACAAACTACCAACGAAAAGGCCACGGAGGCATCATACTTAGTTAGCTATCGCATTGCACAAGCAGGTGAAGCGCACACTATCGCTGAGAAATTAATAAAACCATGTGTATTAGACATAACAAAATGTATGCTTGATGAAAAATCTGCAAAGCATCTTTCTACTGTTCCGCTATCAAACGATACTGTTTCACGACGAATCCATGATCTGGCAAGCTACGTCAAACAAGAACTAGTTACACGTCTACAAAATACACGATTCGCTTTGCAAATGGACGAGTCGACTGATGTCGCTGGTTTGGCTATCCTGCTGGTTATTGTGAGATATCCATATAAAAGTTCTTTTGAAGAAGACATGCTTATGTGTTCATCGCTGCTTACAAACACTACCGGGGAAGAAATTTTTAATAAAATAAATATATTTTTTGAAGAACATAATCTCAGTTGGAACAATTGCATTGACATTTGTACAGATGGGGCCAAGGCGATGACAGGTAAAACAGCAGGAGCAGTGTCACGAATGAAAAATAAAGCGCCTAATTGTAGTTCCAGTCATTGTATTCTGCATAGACAAGCACTTGCGATGAAGCAAATGCCGTCTAATCTAAAATTAGTTATGGATGAAGCGGTAAAAATAATTAATTTTATCAAATCACGACCACTACAATCCCGATTGTTCTCATTATTGTGTGAAGATTATGGCAGCAAACATAAAACACTGCTGCTCCATACAGAAGTGCGATGGCTGTCTCGGGGAAAAACTTTAACAAGGCTATTTGAACTTAGAGCCGAGTTACAAATGTTTCTTTCAGCAGATACTTCTTTTAATTTGAAGGACCGTTTGTATGATAAAACTTGGTTGTTCCGATTGTCTTTTATGGCGGATATCTTTCAAAAACTTAACGAATTAAATTTATCATTGCAAGGTAAACAGACAACAGTGTTTCAGGCCTATAATAAAATAACTACTTTTAAAAGAAAATTAGATTTTTGGATCATTTGCATTGGTAAGAAAGAAATAGAAAGTTTTACGTTACTCACTGAGTTTGTTAGCGAAAACGACTCAGAAATGTTTGAAGATAATGTGTTTGAAGAATTGGTCCAATATCTCAGTTCGATGCGCGCATCTTTTGAAAAGTATTTTCCCGAAGAACACAATACAAAAATTAAAGTGAACTCCTGGATTCATAATCCTTTTTTACCCAACTTGGAAAAGCCTGAAAACATGTCAAATGAGATATATGAATCTCTTTTAGAAATGTCATCAGACACAAGTATGGAGTCATTGTTCAAAACGACGCCTCTTAATGATTTTTGGTGCAGAATCCAAGATGAATATGCAATGCTTGGCCAAATGGCTCTGGATATTCTTCTCCCGTTCCCAACTACATATTTGTGCGAAACAGGATTCTCTACCTACGCAGCCACGAAAACAAAATATCGCAATAGACTGGACGCCGAAGCTGATATGAGACTCCAACTTTCTTCCATCAAACCTGATATCAAGCAATTGATGAAAAATAAAAAACAGTTTCATACCTCCCACTAGTTAGATTTTTTCTTTTTTAATGTTTTCTATTATTGTCCTTACCAAGTGGTGAAGTAAATAATAATTAGTAACGGATACATTGTACTTTTATTATGCTGATTAATATAGAATACACTTATAAAAATAATTGTTTTATTGTAGGGTTCCATCAAGTATTTTGCTTCCCAAAAGGGTTCCGTCATTTAAAAAGTTTGAGAACCACTGTTCTAATGTTTATATAATATGATAAGTTAATAAGTTCTCTAGCCGTAATAGCACAGATTTTTTATTAATGAATGAAATTAAATTACTAATTAATTAATTGATAAGCAAAATAAAACATAGTATGAAATCATTACGCAGTGTTTTGTTTACAGTTGTTAAATAATAATTAAAATAAGATGTATGTGTAAAAACAAAACAATGAATAAATAATACCAGAACATCAGTATTAACTTTTAAATTTGATTAATTTCGATGCTATCACTTTCATTGCTATTACAACAGAATTAGACAACTAGAGACTTAATGAAATGCATCGAGTACTGCTGATGATATGAAAAAAGTACAGCCGTAACGTTTTATTAATGAAGGCTACAGTTTTTTGTTCTATTTCATGCCGACACTTCACATGCTATTTGTAACTCTGTGAACAGTCTCTCTTTATCATAGGTACCCTGTAGCGCATAATAAAGATTAAGGATATACTGCCATCAAAACAATAAATAACAAATAAGAATAGACATCTGAAATACTAGCATCATGTTATTATACACGTATTGGGTTTGGGTGTTTAGAGGAACTCGATGGCGCAGGTGGTTAGCGCGTTCGGCTGCGATCGTTGAAGTTAAGCAACTTTCGCAGTGGTCGGTCATTGGATGGGTGACCAAAAATTTACTATCTCGAGCTCCTCCGTGCTTCGGAAGGCACGTTAATCGCCGTTGGTCCCGGCTACATCTGCAGTCATTAGCACCCGCCAATCCGCACTGGGCCCGCGTGGTGGGTCATGGCCCAATCTTCCTATTCCATCCATAGGAAAGGCCTGTGTCCCAGCAGTGGGGGCATTATTGGCTAATGATGATGATTGGGTGTTTGTATAAAACGACTTATGTAAATTATTATAACGTCTATAAGTACTTTTTTACCTGCAGACGTTCGACTAGATCCAGAGTTACTTCTGCGATTTTATCTAAATGCTTCGCACCATTCATGTCCATCACCTTCGGCCAGAATTCTTTCACAGACTCAATGGTGACTTGATCTGATGGTTTCTTCCTACAGAGAGTAAATTTTTCTTCATCAATTTGCTAACCACGTATCTCGCTGTTTCATTATACATATCAATTTGTACAAGCTTTTTTTTAGATGCTACAAACGAAATATTTTTTACTACAATCAACTACATACAAAGTCTTTAAGAATAGTTAAGAAAAAAAATGATTTTCCAAAGCCGGGAGCTGGGTTCAACAACTACTGTTGCCAAGGGAGTTGGGGCTGGGTTACTTGTGCCATTTTAAAATGCAATAATGTTGGCGTATAACCTGTCTATATATTATACGTCATAGGTGCCTACTTACTTAAATGACAAGCAATTTTCTTGTTTATTTCATTATCCTATTACATTAATCAAGATAACATTTTATTTAATGTTTGGAATAGTCGCATAGCAATATATTTAGAACTTGAAAAAATATCTCTTCTCTACTCACTTTAGAGCTGTTCCAACGCTCCTCACGAAATGCACTTTGCTTGCGTAGCCCAAAGTAGAGTCTATGACCTGTGCAGTTCCTTCGAATGATTCGTGCACCATATACGCCTGGGATGAAAGGGCAAAATATGTATTTTACATAAACGACTAGATGAACCGATTTCATGAATATATACGCTAACAAGAACCGCTTTATAAAAAACAAACAAGCAATCAAATCTTTCCCTTTTTACCCGGCTGCGCAATGCAAGAGCGCGAAGCGCGACGCGCAGACAGGGTTATGTGTTTAACAGTCTATATATGTATGTTTGTTCCTTTGTGGCACACTAGAGACCAAACGCCTGGACCGATTTTAATGATTTATACATCAATCGATTCGTCTCAATCATGGGAGTGCTACTAAAGATATGATAGTAATCAAAATTCAATATGGGGAAAATTAGACGCCATATTGTGACGAAGTAAAAAAAATAAGTTGACAAAATATGTCGAGTGGGGTATCACTGTCTAGATAATCAAAAATCATATTTAGGTTCCTAACACCATTTTTCATTTTATATGATTGTTTAGGATCTACAACGCTTTAAAGTTCTATATTAACCACTTACGCTTTTAATTTCAATCTTACCTTTGTATGGATCTTTGTAACTCTTTCACCTTGAAAAATACTGAATGGATTTTGATGAAACTTAACAATAATATAGCTCATATATGATAATTACATATATGTAATAATTTATGTAGTTATCGAGTGAATTGGGCAATATATAACAATAAGTGTCACATAAGACGGAAAAAAATATCCCATCTGCCAGCCATTTTGGCCTGCACTGCAATAACAATAAAAGTTACATGAATGTAATATAGAGTGAAAATGTATCTCTGAAATAGTTCTAAAAAAAAGTCCGTGACACCATATATCTATTTTTAATGTGTAAGTCATTACCGCTAAAATAGTGAATCAAAACTAAAATATTATTTGATATCTATTTCCAAAATGCACATTTTGTATTAATAAATCTTTTTTTATCAAAACAAATACTTTTATCGCTTTTGATATTTAAAGACGATAAACTTTGCTTCTTACACTATATCATTTTGACAAATATTTAAAAAGTTACAACGATGACAAAGTGATAGCGCGGTGTACTATGTAAAAGAAAAAAAAATGGGGTATTTGCAGTATCTGATACTATACGAAGTACTAACAATAAAACTGTGATACAGTTCCTTCTTATTAAATGATGAAAAATATATTATCATAATAGGTATTTATGATTATTGTATTTTATATATATATATATTATAATATTGGTTTTGTAATAATTCTGCAAAATTCAAAGTAAATAATGTAGATTTTTATAGGTAAATCACCCCTTTCATCACCCTACGCCTATAAGTATTGCGATGTTGTAGCTAAGAACCAAGTTCCCATCTACTTCTATATGGGAATTCATAATATTCGGTTTAGCTATTAGGGCACGGAAGCCCAACAAACAAACTCACTTTCGCATCTATAATATTATATTATACTTACTAGTGATCCACCCGGGCATTGTACGGGCGAAATTTATTTTTAGGGATAAAATACCTTATATGTTGAATTAATATTTGAAACCGGTTTAGTAGTTTGACAGATTATTTGTTACAAACATACAAATCTTGCCTCTTTATAATATTAGTATATATAGTTAGGATAATAGTATTTAATTGATGAAAAAGATTTAAAAATAAAGTAAGTAATAGGGTTATCTGATTATATTATATTATATTTTGTAAAAGTTACTTAGCATTTGTGCTTAACAGTGATACGATATTCGGTATTTTTATTACACAAAAAAAAATGGAAATTAATTGCCATGATTGCATTATTTGCAATACCCACTAGGCTGGTAGCAGCACGCTTGATATGTGGAAGTACTCTTCATTTGAGCTTTACACTACCAACAATAACAAAGGGTCGATCACAAAGTCTTTGACCTGTTATAATTATGTGAACGCTTTAAAAGAAAACTACAAAATAAATTGATAATAAATGAGATTGCTATGGCGCTTAACGTTAGGTACGTTATCAAAATTTTATTATGCATCTTTAGTTTTCAAATATTATAAACTTTGCTTTGGTGATTGCATAATTATTTAATTTAGCGATCTAAGGCAGTTGCCACCATTATCCAAAACAACAGACGGGAATTACTACTCTCTTCAACCTGCGACATAAACGTCATTGATTGGTATTGTATATAGGGTGATTAACAACATTTGAAGTTAACTTCTGGCATCTACATATTGGGTTTCTGTGAATTATGTAGGTATATCAAATTATGAGACTAGGATATGACACTGCATTTGTGTATATCACAATCTTAGACGTCCGGCGTTGACATGACAATGCAGCCACTGCCAATTTTAAATAGTCGACGAATAAAAGTAAATGAATTTTATATTTACTGCTAAACTACTAGAAAGAACATAAACAAAAGATGACTTTTTGGATAAGGGCTAGTTTTCTATAAAATTTACATACATTAAATATTTATGTAACGACTTGATTTAACTTCACACATTTTTGTGAAAAAGGGCAGAAAAAGGCCCATCTGTAGCCTTGACCCCGCTGGTAAAGTCTCTATATGTCTTAATAAATCAATCTTTTAGACCACCCCAAGTTACTTAATAATTCCTGCGATATTAATTCCCTTACTGAAGTAACAAGACTACGGTATTTACCGTCTTAAGATCTAACTAGATAACTAAAAAGTGTGAAATAAAAAAGGTAAATTTAAAAAATCAAAAAACCCGACTGCTTAATTATACTTCAAATTAAAACTGAAAAGAAAAAAAACAAGTCCAGTAGTCTATAATTCTGGTAATAAGGAACAAAGCTACTTTAACAGTCGGGACCCATTATTGAAAAATATTATGTATTCTTGAATATCTAATGGGTCCCGACTGTTAAAGTAGCTTTTTTCTTATTACCAGAATTATAGACTACTGGACTTGTTTTTTTTCTTTTCAGTTTTAATTTGAAGTATAATTAAGCAGTCGGGTTTTTTGATTTTTTAAATTTACCTTTTTTATAATATTAGTATACACGGTAATCATCAGTCGCCATCCGTTTTTTATAATTCATGACTGATGGATTCACTGATGGCTGATTAAGCGTCTAATAGGCGCCTATAGGTAGTGTTTTAATATAAAAATCTAGCAGTATTATCTGCCTGATACCTAGAGTGGATTTTTTTCTAGTAAAAAAATATTTATAGTTCATTCGCGTTAAGAAAATAGTGACTCATCAGTGCAACTGCAGGGTAAGGGTGTATTCATAATGGAGAAAAAATTAAACATTTTTTTTCAAAACATTAAATAAGTTTAATAGAAAAATAATAAAGTATCAATGATTTTAAACATGTTAAAATATTCCTATTAAGGTAATTTTTAATGTCAACTTAAACGCTATATTAGTAGAGTAACACATATTTGGATTAATCGTAATAAGTACTAAAATAAAAAAATACAAAATTGTCTTAAAACTAAGTACTTAAATCGCTAATCAATATCGCTAGATTCTCCCGTTACATTTATTACGAATGAATTTTGTTCTGCATGTTCCATGACGTCATCCAAACCCCACATGGTATTTTCTTCGCGTATCACGTGGTCGCAGCATTTCTTCCACCGATTGGCGTCTACTAACGCGATTGCGTCATAAAATTTTTTTTTTACGTCACTCATTTTGAATGTAGTATTATTCGCAGCAATATAATTTTTTATTTGGGCCCACACCATTTCAATCGGATTTAATTTACAATGGTAAGGCGGCAGACGAAGAATTGTAATGCCATTGTTTTTAGCAGTCTCATCTACTAAATATTTATTATATTGTGGGGCGATTTCGGCGACTTTCAATAATAATTCTTTTTTCAAATAACTCATATCCATAGATATGTCTTTGTTTTGCAACCACTCTAGTATTTGCTGCTTATTCCAACTGGCCGTGGGTATTTTTTCAACTTTTACCGAATGGTAGGGAGCGTTATCCATGACAACCACACTTCCTGGTTCAAGCTTCGGTATTATACCATTGAACCAATTAAGGAATCTTTCACCATCCATTTCTTCATGATAATCTTTTGTAGATTTAGATTCAAAGACTAGTAAACCATCTTCCAGGAATCCTTTTTCGCTGCCAATGTGCAATATAATTAACCTTTTCCCTTTCCCTGTCGGAGCTTTTGGGCCGGTTGATAAGCCATCTTGGAAAGCTTGTCTTTTATTCTTGATTGTTGTATCCAACCACACTTTTGTTTTTACGTGTCCGGCGTTTACCCACGTTTCGTCGAGATAGTAAATGGTTTTATTAGCGTTTCTATATTCTTTTATTTGTCTTAAATATTTTCGCCTCCATAAAACAATATCTTCTCTTTCCACTAACAATTTTCTACTATCTTGTTTATTGAAGTCAAAACCAAGCTCGTGCAGTATTTTGTGAAGTGTTGTACGTTTGAAAACAGGAATATCTTCATCAGCTTCGCAAAGTGTTATTATTTTGTCCAATGTTGGATACTCGTTATTTAAATATATAGAGTGTACTTTTCTCCTTATTGCACATTTGTCTAGTTCATCTAATTTATCGACCGTGGATAGTCGAGCTCTTTTTTTCACAGGTGATTTCAATGTATTCGTTTCTTTTTGTTCTTTTATAATTTTATAAACAGTGTTTTCGGACACACCGCATGCACTTGCAGTTTTAATTACTATGCTCTCCACAGTCTCATTTAAATCAATCTGTTTGAAATATTTATAAACATTGTAAATTACGCGTCTCTCTCCGCTATGTATAATTGATCCACTTTTATTTTTTTTAATAGGTGAGATATCCATTTTCCAAATTTAATTTTAAACAAGTAGTACGCAAAATACACAACCGATCAGTTCGAAGGTCTGACTTCAACTGAGCACTGTGAACTCGCCTTACTAATTTCTAGCGTTTTAATTGGCTAGGGGGCGTGGCTTGGCCGGCAGTCGGTGATGAGTCACTATTTTCTTAACGCGAATGAACTATAGTTTAACAACACTTTAGCGGATAAATGACAAGTGCAACGACTATGTATCTAAGTACTACTTACAACAACCGGCGCGATGAGATTAGGCTTCATCGCTTCGAACATATCCGGAGGCAGGATGTCTTCGGTGAGGCGAGAGGCTGCCGTGGGAACGATAGTGTTCACCTTTATGTTGTACTTGGCGCCCTCCAAGGCCAAAGCGTAGCTGAAGCCCACGAGACCGAGCTTGGCAGCACTGTATCAACGAATACGGCTGATTTAGAACATAACTGTAAGGCCGTATACAGAAAGAAATCTGGAAGCCGGCCATGGTCTTTACTGGTAACAGTTACATAAAGGTAGCAGATTGAAGCCTAGTAGGGCGGTGCCAGCGCTGACCAGCGCGTGTCGGTACTTGTCGGCGACGTTCGGCACTTATCGGCGCTGGTACATAGAAATGCCTGCGCCGGTTACAGGTAAAGAAGCTTTCTTTCTGTATACGGCCTAAGGCTAACAACTCGCGGAATGATTTTTTCCAGCACCCGCCAAAGGGCAGCCGCAGAGCTGTTTTATTTCAAAACTCACGAGACCGCAGGTTTCTGCTTTTACCTACAAATTCACATTCTAATCTAAGCTAGTTGCAGTCCCGCAGCCGCGGCGAGCGCGGGAGAAAATCGCGCCGTGAGTTCTTAGGCTAAACCGTAATTACTGCTGCTTTGAAATACTTTAAGTGCATTCAAAGTACAAACTAATTATTTCAACTACTTATACAATATGCGAACTCATATCTTCACGTTTTGGATGATAAAGTAGCCTATTTAAAAAAGGTATACATACATACCTACTAATGTAAACCTTTTTTAGATAGACGCCTTTACCACATTTCACCGCAGAAACCGCTCTCTCTCTCTCTTTCTATCCCTCTATCTTTATTTCCCTTCCTTTGCCCCTTTCGTTGTCCTTTTTGAAGCTATTTTCGTAGCTTATTGGTGCATTAGGAGCTAGTCTTACAGAGCACAGGTAAAAAAAGGTCAGAAAGTTTGGCGTTATACATATACTCTCCTCTAAGTCAGAATATAACTATGTTCGTGATAAGAACTTGCCTGTAATTAGTTTGGCCGAAGTTGCCAAATATGCCAGCGTTGCTGGATGTCATGATGATGCGTCCATAGTTTTGTTTCTTGAAGTGTGCAAATGCCGCATGTGTTGTCTTGTAAGCGCCTTTTAAATGGACAGCGTGTACGAGATCCCAATCCTGAATAAAACATCATTCAACAAATGATACGACAGCATCTCTTAAAATTAAATTTGTAATAATTATTTATTTTTATTCAAAGTTTAAATGTGTTATTTATTAAAGGAAGTTGTAATTATGTACATTATTCTTTTTGTTATAATGTTTTTTTTTACATATTTGATAACAATGATAAAATATAGCCATCAAGACTATGGTATTGTAGAAACGCAATCAAAAGTCATTTAAAAAAGTAATTTACATTATGGTAATTTCAGCCTTTTTGTCGTTTATTTATCATTTATGCGTGACTGCGCATGTTTAAGTTTTCTATGTAGGTGCTTAAAAATTCGGGAAAAAAATATATTTCTTTGAAGTCTTGATATGATTGATTTTTATATTATTATTGCAATTCTAGGTATGAGAGTCAAACAATAAATAACCCAAGTCCTCGTGTATTGAATAATCAACCAACCAAAGGTCGTTTGTTATCGCAAATAAGCCCCTAATCATATAACAATATGATATAAAACAGTTACCTGGTCAGATAATTTCAAAAAGCTCCTATCGCGTAGAATACCAGCGTTATTGATAAGTATATCGATTCGGCCGAAGTTATCTATCGCAGTCTTTATGATTTTTTCTCCTTCGACCACAGAGTTGTAATCGGCAACGGCGACACCACCTGATAAAAAAACAGTTACTTAACCCTTATATTATATTCATTCACGTTACAATCCCCTGGGGGCCAATCGCCTAACTGGATTGCTTTGGAAAACGCTATCGCTTACGATTTCATTTTGTTATTTCTAACCGCCGAAATACCTCACGCTCATTTTCATTTTCTTTAATATTGTTATTACCAATGCAAAAGAAAAAAAAAGAGCGCGAGGCATTTGAAAACCTCAGGGGGCTAGAAATAACAAAATGAAATCGTAAGCGATAGCGTTTTCCAAAGCAATCCAGTTAGGCGATTGGCCCCCTGTACGGCTAACATAGATTAAGGGAAAATGTTACTAACAAACAACACTATGGATACTTTAGTCTGAAATAAAGTTTTATTATTATTATAAGGTGTATCAAAGTTTTGGCAGTGGGCATCGCACTTCAGCCCATACCGTATACCACATTTGGCATTGCTTTGGTTATAGGGTAATTTCGAGGAGAACAGATTCGGTAAAATTTGGATGTGTCATGTTCATAATTTTGAATGTTTATACCGTTTTATATTGAAGATATTCTTTATCTAATATCACTTTCAAATATAAGAATTATGTATATTGTTATATAAATAGTGCTGATAATAATCACACGACAATGACTATGTGGTAAACAAGCGTTGGTGATAATGACACTTGTTATTGCTTGAAATATGATTGTCTCTTTGTGTTGTTTGAGTATAAATCTTCTAAACATAAGAATTATTTACGTAAAGTCTAGTAATTAATTAGTGCCTGTCCAGATCTGACATAACGTGCAAACCTAGAATTTCCCTTAGCACGAACCAATATCGAATTCAAATAGTTAGCGAGCGCCAAATGCCATTGTCAAATGTGTACTGATTTTTAGTTCTCGTTACGTCCACTGTGGCGCTGCGGCTCAAGTTTCCATACAAAATTATTATTAAACTATTCGAACTCGATATTGGTTCATGCTAACGGTACTTTAGGCCTATTCGCTGACTGCTTTTGACAGATGGAAGTGATAATAATCACTGAGCTATTTAGTGATCCACTACTGCTTTATTATACAGCCACTTAGATACTTGTTCTGAAAAGCATCTATTAATATGCAATTTTGTCTTTAGTTACACACTGTAAATGTCAAGAAAGTTAGCGAATAGGCCGGCTGGTCGTAAATTTGCGCCCCGTACCACGTTATCTCACCGTTCCACGTTAACGATGGACGTCGTGACGTGAGGTGTGGACAGGCACTAAGTGCTGATTAGTCATAAGATTTAATTTTCAGAGTTACTATTAATATTTTAATTTTCATCATCCTCCATTTCCTATTCCCGAACTTAGGCAGTGTTTTATCTTATTTGATCTAATTAAAAATACCATTTGAGAGAGGTGTGAACAAAACACTGCGTTACTAGTTCTTCGTTTATTGGGGCATGGGCTAAGATTCAGTATTTTTTCACAACAGAGGTCCCTCCGGACCTGATATGGAATTAATTTGACAGATTATTCGTGTTGTATAAATATTGTCATTACTTGTTTTAATGTTAAGCATTTAAAAAAAAATTGAAAGTGCTGCACGAGCAATACTTCAAAAGTTTAAGGCGCAGGCGACAACCTTAAAAGGTACAAGTCCGAACTGAACCGAACAGACCTGCAGTCTGCAGCTGCGTCCTGTGGTCTGGTGACACTACTGGTTTTTATGAATCTCTATGAAATTAATTCCGAGCGCGGCGACCGCGACATGCACGTAGTTAAGTACTCCCACTATACCTGAGCTCTCTATGTAAGGCCGAACATCTAGGGCAGCAATAACATAATTTTAACGAATGGTCATGACTTTAGGTCGCGCCCAAATCGTCAGTCTTTTGAATATAAGCTACTAGAGGGTTCATGTACGAATAACGTTTCTTAGAACGGAAAAAATATTGATCTGCCGCGGTTTGCATGATATGGGGGTGGCCGTACGAAGGGGTAGAATATAGGAATAAATAACTGAGTGCGTCAGACATTGAGAAGGGATGTTACGTGATCCCTCCAGTAGCTCCCATTCAAAAGACTGACGATTTGGACCCGAACAAAAGTCATGGCCGTTTGTTGAAATTTTGTTTTTGCTGCCTAGACGTTCGGCCCTACATAGATGGCTCAGGTATAGTGGGAGTACTTAACTAGGTGCAAGGTTGCTCCCTATATGTTATTCTGCCGCGCTCGAGTAAATCCAAAAATACCCGCTTGGGCTCCCCTACTATAATGCACGGTCAGCCGCAGACGCTAGCCGCAGTGTTGCCCGCGGTTGTCGCCTGCAGCCCATTGCGGAATTGTACCTTAACAGTAGAGCCAAAGACTTGATTTAAGGAAAGAACTTCTCCTTTTTGTTTTAATCTAAGGGCATGACCATCCATTCATGCATTCAACACGACACATAACAAAGATGCAGCACTAGGGGCAGTAAGCTCAAAAATTATTCCATTACGAAAAAAATCAGGTAAAAGTTTTTTATATAAGATGATATTTGGACCTACGAATATAAGATTTTAAATTTAAGAAAAATCTTTGAGTAATTATTGGAAAACTCAATAAATGAATAACCCAAAGTGAGTTTGGATTTTGCTTCAACCCAATGCTTCAATTTTGTGATTAATAGTTCAATGCCCTTCCGGCGAGTCTAATGTAGTAGTAGTAGGTCTGGCGCCCGAGTACTTGTTTAATTTTATTTCGATCTTTCCATATTGTTTTAAAACATATTTTTTTCTCCTCACTTTATTTTTTTATAAGACAGTCTAAACAGGCGTGTACCATTTATTTGTGAGTTACTTCAAGAATTGCACGTATTTGCATTGGCGAATTTTTCATTCAAGTGTTGAATGTTTTAGATGATGAACAATATGAGTCAAAAAGTATTTATATTTGGATCTGCTGATTTAATAAAGTTCATTGAGATATACCGCATTTGTGAGTGTATATAGGACACTGAAAGTGTAAATTACAAGACTATAACTCTACACAAATATTATTAGATTCTCCGAGAACCTCTCTTCTCTCTATCCATTTTTTGATCCAACACCATTTTTATAACATTTTCTCTCAACTGCACTCATGTTTGCAAATGACCAGTTGAATACTAATTGCTTAAGAAGTTATTGAATGTGCTGTTTACAAAAAAGTTTTGAAATAAAACTTGTATAACAGATCAAGAATAGTTTTAAACAAAACTTGTATAACCTAGAATGTTATGTGGTGTTTAGACCGTGCAAGTCATTTATTGCTACAATTAAATTGTATGCAACAAGTAAGAAACATGACCTATGTTGATTTGATGAAATAGGGTCCAGATGTAACTCACCATCACTCATAGACATCAGCAATGCCAGTGTCATTGCTGTGCCACTGCATTCAGCAAAACACTATTTAAATTTCTTTTGAAGAGGACCAAGTTATAGCACTGAGGGAACACTGTAGAGGGCAGCTAATTCCATATTTTTTTTGTAATTCACATAATATCTGTATATACATACTAATTACATCAGCAAAAAATAACTTTTACTTGAGTTACTCCGTGATCATGGCGCTTGCAACACTGCCGAAATATCGGAGACTCATAAAAAACAAGGTACATGGTAACAATCCCGTTAATATCTATAATAAATAACTTTTAGCTGCAAATATAGGATTGGTCACAATTTTTTAATCCGTGATTAGTGAAAATGTGAATAAAGGAAGTGTGAAAAGGACCTTTTACTGTAGTATAGTTAATCAGGGTGGATTCCGCACTTAGTTCTTATTATTGGACCTTTGTGCATGAGCTTTTACTTTAACCATTTTGCTTATTCATTATTTATATGAACGAAACAATTCCTGTGAGATTAGTGCAAATTCTAATAAAAAAGAATAAAGACATATTTAAGAATAATGATGTATTTCTTTGTACTATTGAAGCTAATCTATTTCATACCTAATGAAAGCATAAAGTAATTGTGTCCTGTAAGACATGACAACACTTTATCTACTATGCTCTAGCACATCCTTCCTATGGCTAATTGTATTTGCTATATGTAAATTGTACAGCAGTATAGCTGTTACATGTTCTATAGGGAATGAAAAATGAGAGACTGTTATCTAGTTTGCTAAAAAACCTATGTATAACCTTGCCTTGTGAAGTGATAGCATTAAGTTAACACAAGCATAATTCTGAAGTTCTGGTGGCTCTGCATGTTACAGTATATAAGTTCTACAAGATGTATGAGCTCTACTTTTTGTATAATGTAACACCTAGTTCCTTTGTAATGTAATATTTTTACAAAGCTGTTTTTTATGCATCAATTCATTTCATTTCTTCTTACATAAGTAAAGAACAAAAAATAATAAGATTGTAGCTCATAACACCCCAGTACCTATTTTTTTTGTAACTGCTAGTTATTGTAAAATATATATTTAACTGTAAAATTAATCTTACGGAACCTGAACTATGTTTGTGTATTGTTATTATTTGAAATTATTTTCTTGGTAGTTTCTGGCATTATTTCATTTATTACTTTTAACCCTCAAGTGTTTTATTAAATCATATATTTATATAACATGGAGAAGATGTGATCACTGCTATGGCCCCAAGACCTTCACATTACAGAACAAAATGTATCATAGTTATGGGAATATTTAACACTAAAATTGAAGATTTAAATCTACACTCACTAACATGGAATGATTCTAATATGAGGGATATTATTTGTGTTGCCCTAGGCATTCCTTCACGGTAGAAAATCTATGGTGCATTCAAATATTAAGTTAATTTGTTTATGACAATCTGTCCTGCACATGCGCCGCAGTTGGTTTTGGACACACTTCATGTTCAACCATTGAGATGTTTGGTCAGTAATAAGATAAGTTTATAAGAGCCATGTTTTTAAAGATAATGTTATAAAATAGTGAAGAGAGAATGAAATAAATATATTAAAGTAGTCTCCTGGTCTCATTCATCGACCCCTAACAATTTAACAAAAATCTAACAAATTCCTTTTCTTTTACAAAACACTTTGCTTGCTCTGTTTAAAATAAAGTTGAAATTTCCTGATACACAAGGATTTATTATGAAGTTTCTTTGTTGTGATCAATATATTATTTATTAAGATTACTGATATTTACATTATATTTTTTTGCTCACCTTTGTCCTTAATTTCTTTGACAACAGCATCTGCGAAATTCGATTGTCCAACTCCATCTCTGGCACCGCCTAGGTCGTTTACGACCACCTTAGCTCCTCTGGAGGCAAGGAGCAAAGCATACTCTTTGCCAAGACCACCGCCGGCCCCTGTGACCACAGCAACACGACCGTCAAACCGCAGTTGATCCATCCTGACCGGCAAGCAAAACTGAAATGAAAAATTAAAGTAACTCAACTCACTTACGCCTCACACTTCACCACATACTAAGTTTTGTAACAAGCCGATAAAATAAAACGAAATCCTACGTAATACTTATGTGTGTGTGTGTGTGTAATTAAATAAAACTGCTATGAACTGTTGATAATAAATTGTTTAGTCACAAATCAAAGTCCAATCCAAACTGACTGAGCAACTTTCTATGTTTCGTGACAATTAAGATTTTATGGAATATGGATAGTGAAAGAACACTAACCTTCGATTAATGTCTGTAACTGAAACTTAATTCAATGGTTAAATAAGGTTTATTTGCTATAAATATACACAAAGAAAGTAAATATGTAAATCCAATTAAATTTCAGTTTAGCAAGGGTCGCCTACGTTCAGCACCTACGTTCCAGGTGCAACCATACAACCAATGTCAATTTTGACTTAAGTTCCATACTTCCATACATCTTAAGTCAAAATTTAAACGTCAGGGTAAGTTCTACTTCGGAGTAAATTTTAACAAGAATTTAGAACGCCGCGCCCTGGTTTTCGATTTTTAATGTTTTTGAGTTTTCAGAAAAGGCAAAGGGAACAATCCCCAGACTGCCTAATCATAAATTTTAATAATGTTTTTTATTTATTTAATGATGTCGATTCTGGCAGGATTCTCTAAACTTAAAACTAAATTTAACATCAGTCTGTCTTTTTCATTCTGTATAGAGAATGACAAAGATACACTGTTGTCAAATTTAAGTTTAGGTTTAGAGAATCATGCCAGAATCGACATCAATATATTAGAATGTCGGTGCTTCTTTCTAAGCCATCTATGGTCTGTTTCTTGGAGTGTTTGGCACGAAGTCTATCGAACTAGCTTTTTGGGTATGCTTCTGTGAGGTAAGAACTTTATTGCAGTGTTGGCTAACACTACACTAAAGTTCTTAAGTCCATTTGACCGGAATAGCGTATATTTATATGGCAGTATAGTCCCAGATATTAAACGGTCCAAAAGGACAAACTTTAAAAAAAATGGGTGCGTGTACTTATGTAAGGCGCGTGAGAAGTTATCCTTCTTTGGCATCGTTTAAAATTAGTTTTTAATTGCATGCAAATAATTAATTACAATAAATTAATAAAAAGTCTGGAAAAGGACACAGTCAATAAAGTTCAGTTTTAATTTGAAAAAATAAATAAATAATCAAAATATTCAATTAAAATCGCTACTGAATATAATTTATTAGAACATATGTGATTTGCACTTGTATGAAACTCAAACACGTATTCCGAATATACAAACTAGAAACATGTGGATAAATATTATAAATATGAATACCTATAACTGTTACTTTATTACAAAATAAAGATGTGGTTTTTGGTTCTACTACACCAATGGTCAAGAGATGGCGCTGTAGTCTCCTGAATCGCGCTTTGGTTCCGTTGTTCCAGATTAATAAATACTTTTGATAGGCCTACACAATGCAGTCATTAGCACCCACTAAATAGAGATTCTATTTCTATTTTGTTGGTAGATTTTCTTAATGTGCGGTAAACACAAAAGTAACAGCATGCTTGCTTTAGCGACCAACTTCATGCTGTTAAAATTTTGTGTTACAGTGATGCGCGCGCATCTTAAAATTTCACTCTCATCATTTTTTCATTACGCGCCTAAAGAAGTATAACTTCAATAATTACAATAAAATAATAAAAGGACTGGAAAAGGATAGTAAACACAGTAACACAGTCAATTAAGTTCAGTTTTAATTTGAAAAATTTAATAAATATTCAATTAATAAATCACTACTGAATTTAAGTTATTAGTCCATATGTAATTAGCACTTGTAAGTAACTAAAACACGTTGTGTCTATATAGAAACTAGAAACATGTGGATAAATATGAAAACAGTGATCAGAGGCGACGAGCGTGCCAACATTGTTTTTGACAATGCGATCATCTTATGGAGCTCCGTGGATCGTTCAAAGTACCTTTCGAACAGATGTCTAATAATGGTGGATTATTAACCACTAAGTGGTTAATAATCCACCATTATTAGACACTGGTGTCAATTCTGGCGTGATTCTCTAAACTTAAAACTTAATTTAAGGTCAGTCTCACCTTTTCATTCTGTATAGAGAAGGACAAGGATGCACAGTTGTCAAATTTAAGTTTAGCTTTAGAGAATCATGCCAGAATCGACATCACTAACATTCATAACGCGCCCGCGGCCAACTTCATGGTGTTACTATTGTGTTACAGTGATGCGCGCGCATCTCGAAATTTCACTCACATGATTTTTTCATAACGCGCCCGTGGCTAACTTCATTATGTTACTTTTGTGTTACAGTGATGCGCGCGCATCTTAAAATTTCACTCTCATAATTTTTTCATAACGCGGCTAAAGAAGTATAACTTCAAAAAGCATCTTGAGTTTTTGGCGGGATTTCATTAAGTGTGGTTGGCTTCATATTTTAATTCTTCTTTAAATACGTTCAAAGTGAAATAAAATTGGTGTGATTAAGTGTTACAATCGTCTGCGCAACTGAAGAATTATTGGAATCTTTAAAATATTCGCTATGGTAGCTTTCCAATTACAGCATTATGCGGCATAATGCTTAACGTTGAGTGTTCCAACTACAGCAATGCTTCGCACAATTGAGCACTCTCAAAAGTAATGCTTTCGTGTGATGCGTGCAATCGTACCAACTCAAAGACAGAAAATTAACAAGTGTTTTTTCTTTAAGTTGGCATTGATCGAAATGTTTTATTTATATGTTATCGTTAGTAATATTATTTATTGTTGAAAAATTATTAAAACTTTCGTTTCATCATAGTTTTTTTTAAATAATCAAAGTTAATTAAAACTGTGTTAAAAATTAAATAAATATGGATAAAGGTACAAACATTGACTTTTTTTTTCAACACTGAATTTAGCACACTCTGCTGGTGCATTTGAAAACTAATTCACGTTCCAAATGCACCAGCAGAGTGCGCTAAGTTCAGTGTTGAAAAAAAAAGTCAATGTTTGTACCTTCATCCATACTTATATTTTTTTTTAACAATTTGAATGAACCTTGATTATTTAAAAAAAACTATTTAATGAAACGAAAACTTTAATAATTTTTCAACAATAAATAATATTACTAACGATAACATATAAATAAAACATTTCGATCAATGCCAACTTAAAGAAAAAACACTTGTTAATTTTCTTTCTCTAAGTTGGTACCATTGCACGCATCACACGAAAGCATCACTTTTGAGAGTGCTCAATTGTGCGAAGCGTTGCTGTAGTTGGAACACTCAACGTTAAGCATTATGCCGCATAATGCGCAATTATGCTGTAATTGGAAAGCAACCTATCAGTCAAGTTTATGTGAGAACTTTATTGTAGTGTTGACTACCTCACAAAAGCTTGTCGAGAAAGCTGACTCGAAACATTTTATGCCAAACACTCCAAAAAACATTAGAATGCGTCACATCCATATTTTAATGTAAAAAAAGGGCGATTAGCAGAAATATAAGACGATGGCGGCTGCATGGCTTTGCCTTTACCGTTCCAAATAAGGAAGATTGGAACTAAAAAAAAGCATGTAAGGGTTTTTTGGCGGGATTTCATCGAGTGCGGTTGGCGTCTTATTTTAATTATTCTTAAATTCGTTCATAGTGGATATTGTGAAATAAAATTGGTGTGGTTTTATGTAACAACCGTCTGCGTAACTGAAGAATTAGTGGAATCGTTAAAATATACGCTATTCCGGTCAAGTGGACGTGAGAATTTTATTGTAGTGTTGACTACCTCACAGAAGCTTATCGAAAAAGCCTACTCGATACATTTCGTGCCAAACACTCCAAGAAACATTAGAATGCGTCACACCGACATTCTAATGTAAAAACAAAAAGAAGATTAACTTAATTAAAGACTAGGCTGTATGGGCATTGTTTCCTTTGCCTTCCCTAAAACGGGAGAACTTCAACAAAAAAAAAAGCATGTAACCGTTTCCTGCTGTCATTTAAATTGTTTTGTTTTGAATTTTCCGTTTTGTTTGTTAACGAGTATATTTTGTATAGAGTGGTAAATGCAGTGGTTTCTGTAATTAAATTATGCTAATTTCCTGTTTCACTTGAAATTTAGGGCTTGAACAATACTTCTGTTAAGATATTCTGTAAAAAGTTATTCTTGATTGTGACCAACCACTCTTGAAATAATGTCTGACTATAATCAAGAAAAACATGATATTTATTCAGACCCCCTAGCAAGTAAATATCAATATTTTAAAACTGGGTTTCTGCTTTGTTTTTATTAATAAAGACTATCTTTACTAATTTCATATTCTTGTATAATACAGTGAAAGAGTATGTTAGGAGAATCAAAACAAAAGTTCAAGTTTTTTCTAGTAAATGGAAATCATTACATACATAAAACTAGTACTTATATGCTTTTAAAGAAATATATTAAGATAACCAGTTTTATCCGTTTGCTTTTAGTTATATACAATGAAGGACAGTGGAGATTGAATAAAGTATCAGCTTTAAATAATTTAAATTTTAATGTAGTAAAGTTAAAACAATATGCTTCGAAAATACGTCAAGCACTTGTTAGTGCAATTCCAGCAAATAGTTTGAAGTATTCAGTATTAATTGAGGAACAACCATATCTCAAATACTGTCCAGATGACTCTAGTGGTTTGTTAGTAAGTAGATCTACTAGACCAGTAATCTAATAAAAATAGTGTAAGAAATATTTTATAGTTGATATTCCAACTTTTTAACCCCTGGTTTGTGTAAGCCCAACATTGTTTTTCATGGCCGAAAAATAAAAAAATCAGGCTGATTTTTCTCTTATTACTCGAGCTCTACTCTACATCCAGGCTTTCTTAATGTCTTAAATCAATCCTGAATAGTTTCTCTACAAACATACTAATATATATTAGATGTGTAAATTAAAAACCAATCAATATGAAATTAATTTTCTCAACTCGTGCCAGACATCATCCATGTACACAGACGAGGGGATAGAATTTATGTTATGGGCGGATTTAGGGTCACTTATGATTTGCACACTGCCCCTGGTTTGTGAACTGTTGGAGTTTGTTTTTTTTATCGCTCGTGGTGGCCCCTGAAGCACAGCCCCGCCTGCCCTGTCTATTGTATACATATCAATTAATGTAATCAATTGGTGACTATATTAATTTATACCTTTGATATCCTGTGATCATAAAATGATAACCAACAGTGAAGCTATGTTGAAATAATTGACACAAAAAATATCATTTTCAGTTAACTGTATCATCTTCTCAAGAAAATCAAAACATATCAAAAGTTGCATATTCAGCTATTTTCCTCTCATGGGGTGTAAGCAGCAAGTTAGAGAATGCCACACATTTACCATACATGTTGGAGAAAGGTGAACAAAAAGTGGGGAATGCAGTTAGAAGTGTGTTGCAAACTTTATTTGATTGCATTATACAACAATTCTCTTTTTCTCAGGTATGGGATTATAGTCATATTTACAAAACACCACATTTTAGTTGTCTTTGTCGCCACCACTATATTATCTTTTGTCTTATTTGGCAAATTTACAGCTAAATTATATAAAAGCAAATATAATAATTATAACTATCAATAATAATCATTGATTAAACAAAAAAGTGAGAACAAAAAAAGGAAAAGGAGTTTTCTCATATCTTTTTATATTGCTTGAATTATTTTCAGTGAACAAAGTTTTAATTTAATCATCTTTTGTTTTAGCATCAGTTACTGCATTTTGGTTTCAGTTTTCTTGAAATTGATACGTCACGAAATTCCGATCCTTTCACATTGACTTTTAAAACACCACAAGTAGAACACAAAGACAAATTAAATATGTCCCTTGATATAGGAGATGTTCGCATCATTTGGAATGGGTAAATATAGATTCATTTAAACTATAACAAAACATATTCAATGAGAAGATTAGATTAATAGCCTATAATTTACATTAAATTTTTGAAGCATTTCTTACATGATGCTAGTATTTGGTTTTTTAATATTTATTGATGTTATAAATGATACATTTGGAAATATATGGCTTTGTAAGCCATTTAAAAGTTTTGTTATAGTTATTGCTATATATCAAAATAAATTAATAAAGTTTGATATAAATAATGTTTATGTTTTTTAGATTAAAGGAAGAAGTAAAAAATAACTCTGAACAGATAAAATTGGCTTACCAAATACTTCAGAATCAAATATTTCATATGGTCATGTTAGATATAAGTGTTTTCGATCTCTATGAAGTTACTTTGCCAAAAGCTGAAGTTAAAAACAGTGGTATTGTGAAAATGAAGACCCCAGAAGCTGTGAACTGTGTCTTTACAGTTTTGAATGAAATAACTCCTATTCTATCTGTGTAAGGCTCTGTGTTTTGGGTTATATTATTTATTTAATATAAAAATATGGACATTCAATATTTTTTCTGATTTGGATCGACATTATTTGACTTACCTAACACCTTAAATTAAATAGTCAAGTACTTAAATGCAGTTCTGACAAAGTTCTGAGAATGGGAAAAATATGAAAAAAAACCTAGTTTAATATCTTGTATTTCCTGTGAGGTATATGTCAATAAAGAATATCATTATTATTCTCTTTATTCATTGTATACCATATTAATTACATTTTTAAATATTTACTATAAAAATTAAAAAAATAGAAGCCAACCGGCATCGAGAACAGGGCATTTCCGAAGCATTCGCCTAACGGAAATGCTTCGGAAAACGCTAACGCTTACGATTTCATTTTGTTATTTCTAGCCACCTGAGGTTTTCAAATGCCTCGCGCTCTTTTTTCTTTTGCATTGGTAATAACAATATTAAAGAAAATGAGCGTGAGGTATTTGAAAACCTTCGGCGGTCAGAAATAACAAAATGAAATCGAAAGCGTTAGCGTTTTCCAAAGCATTTCCGTTAGGCGAATGGCCCCATCCTTGCTACTGGTAGTTAAGGCCCCAGAGAAAGGAACCTCCTCACTATGCTAGCCGTGTCAAGGAGTACTGCACTCTATCAGGCCCTTGACCCAGTCACCCAACTCCAGCCTCCACAGATGACAATCGAGTCTCTTGGCTATCAGGCCATTGACCGTCACAACTATCGGCACAATGATAGCCGAGTCAACATCCCACATTGCGACAACCTCATGAGCCAAGTCAAGATATTTTATTTGTTTATCTTTCTCGGCTTTCATGAGGTTCTCGTCTTATCCTATCACACACACTATCGGACACATCCTATCAACTATCATTGCGAGGCGCTTTTCCCGATCTATCATCTTTTATAGAATAGTCTTGTCAGTGATGATAGATCGGTAACTTGTTCTCTTATTGGTCTGTGGATCGGTCTCAGTACTCTCAGTACAACGTGATATGACTTCGAGAACTGGGTCGGGCACATACTTGTAATATGGCACCTCAGAAGCAACAAGGTTGTATTTCAGGGCAAGTTGCTGATGGATAATCCTGGCCACTTGGTTGTGTCTGTGCAAGTACTCACCGTAAGCTAGACGAGAACAACCCGAAACAATATGCCTAATCGATTCACCAGGACAGTGACATGCGCGACATAATATGTCAACCGTCCCATCTTTCAGAATATATTTTCGGTAATTGTTCGTCATTATAACTTCGTCTGCAATTGCACAAACAAAACCTTCGGTCTCTCCAAGTAGGTTACCGAATCGAAGCCAAGCCACGGACGCTTTGAGATCTACTTCGGGTCTATGTAGCGCCCGGAAAAAGCTGAAGCTCTTTGCTCTGCCATACCTCCCTGCGTTCATCTGTAGTAATTATACAGGTTTGCGCCAGTTCTCTTTAGCCAAGGATTATTATTATTAGTTTTCCTATTCATACATCAGGACCAAGTCCTCGTTTAAGTACATATCATGGTAAAAGTAGGTAGAAGGTAGTATCTTAGATTAATTGCATAGATAAATTTGATGCCCCTCGCAGCCTGCCCCGTGCGGCCATGGCCGTTTGGGTCCTAGGGTAAATACGTCCCTGCTTGCCACAGCTTACTACGGATTTTAATTTGATGTCTTAATTACACAGATTAACGATGTATTTTAACGCGGTTTTCTAGATTTCATCAGAAACAGATTCTTAATTAAAACCACTCCTTTTGGCTTTCAACATTTACTCTCATGAATTACACCTTACAAATGTGTTTGCATATCGTAACCTTACAAAATATTTTATTATATCATTACAATGTGCTAAACTTAAAAATAACCTATTTTGTAATCACGTCTTTCATTATCTTGCAAGCAATCCTTATCGTTTTTAGAGAAATTCGTAGTGAGATGGTTTTCTCTTTAGTACTTATATTTTTTTCTTGTACAATATTGTAAATAGGCCTACAACACCACATACCAATTTGACATTATTTCCTTGAAACAGTAAGGTCAAGCAATCAAATTAATCTAATTACATGATAAATTAAAAGAATTTTGTATAAGTATAAAAGGACATTTTCATTGTATACATAAGATAGTGGCACCCATGACCGACAAGCGCCAGCTATCGTAATTTTTTTCTGTGATCAATGAAAATAAGAGTGGGTGGCCAGTCGCTGAGTGTGATAACACCGAGCTATCATATTTAGTGATCGGTTTTACTTGATCACGGAAGGGAATTTCGATCATTGGTTCTTGTCAGTCAGTGGTGCCACTACTTACATTGAAATCTTCGTAAAATAAATAAAAAAGTAACATTGTGAACGATAAATTAATATATCAAATTAGAAGTACATATATTATCTGTCTGGTAACAAACAAGTTATAAAATGAACTAAGTCAATGTAACTATACACATTGAAATATAGGATCATGCCAATTTACACCTTATGTCTTCTTGCAATACACCCGTTAAATATAATACAAATAAACACAAACATTGGACTACATAACAAGGATACACAACAATTAATGTACTTTTATAAATGCCAGATTAAAAATATTGTGAAACCTTGACGACAATATATTTGCAAATAAAATTTACATCAACAATATACACACAATAAGGTTTACATACAAGCGATTAATTTTGTGAATTTTATATAAAAGTAGATAATTCGTAATGTATAATGGGGTTTGCCATGATGGAGTAACTTACTATGTCTATTCCTCTAATAAATGTAATTTATGAGTAAATTTCACCATCATGATAATAGTCTGGTTTAATTATAATTATTTTTCAATCTGATTCAAAGTCTAATCAATATGAACTTTAAATGTTATGACCAATTTTAACCTAGAACAAAATTATGTATATAAAAGTAGCTGGCTATGTGTTCTTACAAAGTTACATAAGACAATATTTCGCTTTCGGTCTTAAGGTGTAAGTAAGTACACAAACTTATCAAGTCAATATTAAGGGACTCTGACTGCCCATTCGACCGTATTTTTTGTTCATTTGTGATTATTTATGACGGTAATGATTACGTCAAAAGACATCTCTCATCCTTCCGTAACATCTATTCTTAACAGATTGTCAATCACCACATGGAAGAGTTGAGAAAGACGAAGAGGCATTTGACAAGATTTAGAAATCCGTCTTACGTTATTTACTTACCTTTACATAAAGAAAAACAAATATGTTGCGATATATGTTTGTTTGAGCCTGTGACGTCATTTTTTTTCTTTCAATTTCTTTAGAATCAACTGTAGGTACTTACTCAGTCCAGTAATGAGTTCATAGAACAGAACATTAAAGAATCTGCTGCTACGGAAGGAAGCAAAACACATACCTAGGTAGAATAATTTTATGTGTTTACTAGCTAATATACCAAAAACATATACCTTGTCGAGGTTTATTTTTCAATAAAGCGGCAAAAGACGTTTCTATGGGAGAGACATAGAAAAAGCTACGAGAAAATATGGTTGATTAAGGGTAATTATAGTACGAACCTTAATTTGACATTATTCTTCTACTGAATTCTTCAATAGGAAATTTTGACTCGAGAATTATTTTTATTGTTAAAGTTAGCTAGCACCTCCTCAATGACGCTTAGTTTATATAACTTCCAGTAATACGTACATACATAGCTAATACCCCAACGCCACCCGTCTTGAGAATGGTTGTAACTGTAGTTACTATAATAACATTACTTCATACTAAAAGTAGTGAGTTTGTTTAACGCAAGCTATCCATCAGCATATAAAATAAATCTAGTCATCTGGCGTACATTAAAGTTTTCAATCTTCGTACCAATGTTCGTTGCACACAGCTGCTTCCCTCCTAAAAATGAAGAACGAAAATTATTAAGCTAATAGGTATGTCTTCTAATAGCTATTTTTTTTAAATAAAGATAATAAAACATACAGGTTAACACCGTCCTTGAGAAACTATAGCAGGCAATTAATAGGGCTGGCGACTCTATATTTTGAAACGTCTTACACCTTATTCGACTTAAAGAAACCCTGACGTTGATCGTCAGTTTGTCATCGTACTGGCTTGCTCAGACGGAGACTTGTCTTTGACTTTTGTCCGTGGAGAACAAAAATCCCTAAATTGTAGAAAGAATGTCCGCCGAGGACTTGTCACGGACATGCACACAATGTGCGACTAATTGTCCCCCGACAATTTAGAGAAGAGCATGCTATGAAAGTCAATATTATCAGATTACGTTGTGTTTTAATTAATATGAAGAAGAGAATACTGGGTCAATCTCTTTCAATCGTATAGCGCGCAACGAGGACTAAAGTTCGCTTGTGTGCCAATGCACACTTTAACTTCAAAATGAAACCACCAGCAATCTGGTCACATAAGTTTCATTTTGAAGTTAAACTTCTTTAGGCACGCTTGACTTGGGGGGTAAACTGGCGAATGTGTGACGATTTTTGCGTTACGCGCGCACTCATCGGGAAACAATGAACAATACCCGTCACAAAATACATGAATCTAGTGCTTGGTGGTTGATAACGGATCCAGCGCGGATTGGTGGATGATAACGGACCCAGCGTGGATTGATGGGTGATAACGGACCCAGCGCGGATTGGTGGGTGATAACGGACGCAGTGCGGATTAGTGGATGATAACGGACCCAGTGCGGATTGGTGAGTGATAACGTACCCAGCGCGGATTGGTGGGTGATAATGGACCCAGTGCGGATTGGAGGGTGATAACGAACCCAGCGCGGATTGGTGTTTTTTTTTCGACAAATATTTAGGTTTAGTTTATGATTTTCAGATCTTTGGAGCTAAAGAAGTTTCGCTTCAGTCGTGTGGTCATAAGCACACTCGTTTTTTTTCCCGGCCCGGTCTCATTGTGTCCTCTGTTGTTCAGGGAACTTAGTACGGGGTACTATAAATGCCTCATGTGCGTTACCCGATGCAATTGTAAGCGATCTATTTTAGCAGACAAAAAATTCCGCGGACAAATGTTCCTTGTCTGCGCAAGATATAAACCATATAACTTTTCCCAGACAGGCGCGGCAGTGGCGACCAGAGGCCCAAGCACGAATTTTGACAGCTCCGTAATCATATTGCTGCGTCAAAGTTTCTATAAAAACAAAGCAGCGCCCCATATCTGACGTAAGAACTTATTAGCTTTTCCATACAAAATTAAACATTAATGATTACGGTGCTGTGAAAATTCGTGCTTGGGCCTCAGTTGTATCCACTTGCAATGTCAGTGGGCCACGACGCGGCAGCTTGCCCCGCTCCTTTCACAACGCTGGTATGTCAGCAAGCACGCTGCTTAGCGTATCGGCGACTTACGCGCCGTCCGTTAAAAATGTTTTTGGTGGGCTTTCATTTCATTTTGTAAGTCAGTCAAGTCAAGTACTTGCGTTTGATATTTTTTATTTTTTGTTGAGTTTCCTCGCCCGCAGTGTGCAGCGCAGAACCTAACAGCACAGCTACTGAGCAGGCTCCCTTGTTTATGGTCGTTACTAACAAGTTTGCCGGGATGTAATACCTCACTCCTCGCCCGCCTCAGTGTGTGCAGCACAGAGCCTTACAGCACAGCTACTGCGCAAGCTCCCTTGTTTATGGTCGTTACTCAACAAGTTTGCCGGGATGTAATACCTCACTCCTCGCCCGCCTCAGTGTGCAGCGCAGAGCCTAACAACACAGCTACTGCGCAGGCTCCCTTGTTTATGGTCGTTCCTCAACAAGTTTGCCGGGATGTAATACCTCACTTCTCGCCCGCCTCAGTATGTGCAGCGCAGAGCCTAACAGCACAGATACTGCGCAAGCTCCCTTTTTTATGGTCGTTCCTCAACAAGTTTGCCGGGATGTAATACCTCACTCCTCGCCCGTCTCAGTATGTGCAGCGCAGAGCCTAACAGCACAGATACTGCGCAAGCTCCCTTTTTTATGGTCGTTCCTCAACAAGTTGCCGGGATGTAATACCTCACTCCTCGCCCGCCTCAGTGTGTGCAGCGCAGAGCCTAACAGCACAGCTACTGCGCAGGCTCCCTTGTTTATGGTCGTTCCTCAACAAGTTTGCCGGTATATAATACCTCACTCCTCGCCCGCCTCAGTGCGCAGCGCAGAGCCTAACAGCACAGTTACTGCGCAGGCTCCCTTGTTTATGGTCGTTCCTCAACAAGTTTGCCGGGATGTAATACCTCACTCCTCGCCCGCCTCAGTGTGTGCAGCGCAGAGCCTAACAGCACAGCTACTGAGCAGGCTCCCTTGTTTATGGTCGTTACTAACAAGTTTGCCGGGATGTAATACCTCACTCCTCGCTCGCCTCAGTGTGTGCAGCACAGAGCCTTACAGCACAGCTACTGCGCAAGCTCCCTTGTTTATGGTCGTTACTCAACAAGTTTGCCGGGATGTAATACCTCACTCCTCGCCCGCCTCAGTGTGCAGCGCAGAGCCTAACAGCACAGCTACTGCGTAGGCTCCCTTGTTTATGGTCGTTCCTCTTCAAGTTTGCCGGGATGTAATACCTCACTCCTCGCCCACCTCAGTTTGTGCAGCACAGAGCCTAACAGCACAGCTACTGCGCAGGCTCCCTTGTTTATGGTCGTTACTCAACAAGTTTGCCGGGATGTAATACCTCGCTCCTCGCCCGCCTCTGTGTGTGCAGCACAGAGCCTTACAGCACAGCTACTGCGCAGGCTCCCTTGTTTATGGTCGTTCCTCAACAAGTTTGCCGGTATATAATACCTCACTCCTCGCCCGCCTCAGTGCGCAGCGCAGAGCCTAACAGCACAGTTACTGCGCAGGCTCCCTTGTTTATGGTCGTTCCTCAACAAATTTGCCGGGATGTAATACCTCGCTCCTCGCCCGCCTCTGTGTGTGCAGCACAGAGCCTTACAGCACAGCTACTGCGCAGGCTCCCTTGTTTATGGTCGTTCCTCAACAAGTTTGCCGGTATATAATACCTCACTCCTCGCCCGCCTCAGTGCGCAGCGCAGAGCCTAACAGCACAGTTACTGCGCAGGCTCCCTTGTTTATGGTCGTTCCTCAACAAATTTGCCGGGATGTAATACCTCACTCCTCGCCCGCCTCAGTGTGTGCAGTGCAGAGCCTAACAGCAGCCGCCGCCCGCCGCACCGCCCGCGCCCGCGCCGCCCGCCCCGCTCGCGCCGCCCGCCGCCGAGTGCTGCGGCCCGATCTTGATGCCGTTAGCCTGGAACCAAAGAGGTCTACCGTTTTTTTTCTCACCAGATAGCGTCACTAATGAGTGAGGTCCTGAAGTGCAGCTTTTTAAGTGTTAATACGCGCATGCAATCAAGGTTTACTAGTTTTTCACGGGTTAATGCACGAAACTTTATTTATTTATTGACGTTTCGCAGCCTTTACAGGCTGCGTCGTCGGATTATGCATTAACCCGTGAGTGATGTGCGTGAAAACCTAAGAAACAAATATCAAAGTTTACATTTAAATCATATTTTAACACAAAAGAACAGTATTGTTCGGAAAAAATGGAGGACAAAATAATATTTCTTAGCTCCGCTTTTAAATCACTGACATTCATTGAAACGTAACTCATATTTGCCACAATTAATCGGAGTTATTACCAAATATTCACAACATGATTTTAATAACAACCCACAGACTTTAACATTTGACATTTCGGAGACCTCACGCTACACAAGCGCCTCTATTGGCGGATTCATATGCCATAGCCCTCATTCCAACATTACTGACACATTCTTATGAAGTCCGATTTCAATTCCTACTAATGACGAGGGAGAAGATAAATGTAAGACAGGGACATGCAGTTTACCGCCTTTTACAGTCTGCTGCTCCGTTTTAAGGTAGGGCAATAATGCCCATCAATGCCCTGTGGTAAGAGTCAGCGGAATAGCAACACAGTCACGCTTGCACTGCACTCATTGAAGTCAGTACGATACCGTCTTTTGGGGGATCAGAAGATCAGGAACGACCTGTTTACATGCTCAAATTACCCATTTTATGTAAAATTATATATGCAGGGACTTCTTGGATACACATTCTTCTACTAAATTTTTTAATCACTTCTGTGTACTACCAACTGTCAAAATTTTCTTAGTAAAAAAGTTAAACATACAAGGACGTCAGAATCCTTTACATACCTCATTGTTAATATCGAAGACTCCTTCCTGTATCTTCTCATAGATTTCTTTAGCAGTGTTGATGAAGGCCTCTTCAACGTTGGCTGCTGTTTTAGCTGAAGTTTCCATGAATACGAGTCCGTGTTCCCGCGCAAATGCTTCTCCCTCCTCCTTCTTCACTTCACGACGAGACTCCAGATCACTGAATAAACCAGAGACCATCGTGGATTACATTGGTATACTAACCTGTGCAATACAAATCAGTAACAAAATAATCCAATTCAACTGAACAATCTTAATTCTTTAGAAATATCAGTGACCTAGGTTTCTGTGTGCTAAGTCAACCACGAAGGTTGACACTTTTTAAGTGAGTAAGTTAAGGCAAATTCCTTCACAATTCGGAGAAGACAGACTTTTACAAGATCAAAGTGGTCAACAAATTATCATCACCATTGAGGGCATACAATTAAAAAGTAGATAAAATGCTACTTCTAAAAATTCATAGATGTAGTTGTTAAGTAGAGCACGCTAACCATTAGGCTATCTACTATAATGGGTCTAAGCATTAAGTCTTTGTTAACAAAATTGTATAAGTAGGTAGTCAATATCACACATTTAATGCATGCGCAGCTGTTATTACATAGAGCAGCACTGTGTGAGGCGAGTCTCACATCGCCGCTGGTCTCTATCATAAAAACTGCACGTCGAGCGGACGCCCTATCTGTGCCCCACTTATGGCAGCGCAGGCTCTAATTGCCACTTGTGGTGTATTTAATTTTCTACAAAAAAGAACTGGTTGAAGCCTCAAAAATCTATTAATAAAATAAACCTTTTCTTTAGTATGGCTCATGGTAGTTTTGATACAACATAAGATGTAAGAATTCATTACCTTTTGTTCCCAATCAACATTATGACCATGTTTGAGTTTGAGTGTTGGCGTGCATCCTCGAGCCATGTAGTGAGATGGTTAAAAGTATCCCTTCTGGTGATATCATACACAAGAAGTGCACCTGCCGCACCTCTATAGTAGGACCTTGTAATTGACCTAGAAAAATTTTATAGTGTTATACTTGTATTCCAAATGGCACATATAAATCTCGATGTGAAAAGTGTGACTTTAAACAATGGTTTTTGTATAGCACAAGTGAACAAAGCCTATTGTTATATTGATTGTGCCCAAATTGTCACTTTGACAAAAAAATATTACTAATTATCTTGATTATTATATATGTGTGTGTATGTTTATACATAAAAAAACACAAAAGATTTTTTCTCAAACATAAACCTACGGTATAAAGATACTTAACTGGTTTTTTGATAGCCATGCTATGACATAAATAAAGAAAAATAATTTGCCAAAAATAGAGGCAAAAGCTAGCTTTTGGCTAGAATTGGGTATATTAATGTGAGGGTAGCCTCTATATAGTGCTACAGGTAGCTATAGCACTATATAAATGATTAATATTTGTGTTCAATAGCATATACAATATAGATTAGAGTACATTATCTGTCTGGTGTAATGAAATATTAAAGTGGAACCTGACAGCAACCAAAATAATATGTATAGTCTGTTCCAAACGAATTTAGACCGAAGGTAAACAAACACTTTACCCCTCAATTCCCATGTAATGAATCACTAAATGGATTTCTCAATACATTAATTTGCATTCCTAGGAGTTTGACATATTAATTTACTATCTTTTATAGCACTAATTTCTTGACTAATTAAGGAAAAATCATAAATAAAAACTTGAGTCGAAAACTAAGGTTATTTTGGCAGATGGGAATTGGTCTGTTGTCTATAGTTGAACAGTGTTGCACTGAAATGTCTATTCAAAACTATTTCAATTGTGGCTAATAATTGAATTGTGAATCGATTAAATAAATTATTATGGCCTAAAACATCATCTCATTTTTATCAATAATCCAACATATGCAAAATTTATTTGTTTGTTAAACTTAGGTTAACTTTCTTATATAATAATAAATACAATTATACGCATTTGTATCATAAAAGTAAAAGTTGACTACTGTTGAACGAAGTAACTTAACTTTATGTAAGATGTTCAACATGATAATGCTGCGAACTCGCTAGCCAACGAACCTAGATATTTAATAAATCATACAAACCAATTGTTCATAAAGAGTTTTAATAATAACGCAATATATTACCAAATACAGTTAACAGCCAGAGCACAGTCATTTTTGAGTAATATTGATAAAAAAATATTAATGTTACAAATTAAGCCTGTTTGTTTACTTTTGGTCTAAATTCGTTTGAAACAAACTATAAATATAAATTTAGTATGTTAATATCACAGTTGAGGTCTGACAGTGCTAACAAAATTACATGGACAGCACCTCTACTTTAAAGGAAATACAAGCATTATTGATTTTGATTTGTTGTCATAAATTTGATGATTGATTGTCATAAAGTGTATTCACTATCATAATGACATTAAACTTAAATAAAATAAGGACAAATATCAAAATATGTTTTTTTTTTCCATTAAATTACCTGAAGGCCTCCTGTCCTGCAGTGTCCCATATTTGAAGTTTGATTTGCTTGCCATCAATGGTGATCATACGAGCACCAAACTCTACACCAATTGTAAGGTCATGCACAGGTTGGAACCTTTTGTCAGTAAACTGCAATAGTAGGCATGATTTGCCCACACCTGTCAAATAAAAATTATGTGATAAAGAGTCTCAAACAATCAAGTGAAATTATTTTGATTATTTTCAAATCCTAAAAACTTACGAGAAAAAGTAAAAGATGATTTCTAGAGATATAAAATCAAGGAGAGTAGATTATTTAAATAATCTTAAAAAATAAAAAAAAATGGGCCCACTCTGTTGGCTGCAAGACTGGTATAATGGTCCAGGACCAAATCTGTAGTCTTCAGTAAAAATACACATTGAAGAAAATAATAACTATTTTTTGTTGTTGTTTTCTAAGTATTAGTAGTAAATACATTGTTGACGTGATAAGTACCTACTTTAGAGCAACAAAGGAAACCTTGACATAGCAACAAAGGAAATGTTCAAGCTTAGGTAAAATTTTGGTTAGCAGTACAGTATAATGAGCACAAAATGACATAATCTGATCTGAACGTTTACTCATCTTTGACGCAGGTGCTGAAAAGTGGCGTAGGCGTGAAACAAAGCTTGTATAGATCAGATCACCTAACATACATAAAACTAATACTTTGGTTTTTACTTCTTATCTATTACAAAACGTACATAAATGGACAGTGGAAACATAATAAGATGTGCGTCATAAAAAGCTAAAGAGTCAAAATAGAGCACATTGCACATATTATAACAACTGAGATAAAATATCAGCACAAAATCAATACCTGTGTCGCCTATGATGATGTATTTGAATAAGTAGGCGTATGCCATTTTTATCACGGTTTCTGGCAGATTACACAAAAAAGCTGTGATGATACTTTTAAACAAAAACTAGTTTATCAATTTTATTTAGATGTTTTACAAATAAGACGTAGATTTTTCGTAATCACACAGCTGGTTGAATCAATTTGTCATTGTGAATATAGATAAAAAAGCCATACTAAACTATTTGTCAAATGTCAGCCTTAGTAACATGGACGTACGATAGAAAATAAACACATAATCTCTGTATTCTGTGGCAACCTAATCACTAAGCTTAATAGGCTAGTTGACCCTTTTTGGAAAAAGGTTTTAAATGGTTAATAAATGTTCTATTAGACCGAAAAAAAATGTATTGTATTTTTTTGAGACCTAGAAAGCTACAAATCTTCAATTTTAAAATAGACTTTTCATGGACATACAAAAACGCTGTCGGCCATTTTAGTCTATAGATTATCTATGCTATGACGTCGACGGTAGTAAACAAAAACTCGTAAGCACGTAGAAAATAACCCATCTGAGTTTATAATAAAAAAAAACATGATTTCTAATAGATACCACGAAAAATATAGTAATTATCATTATTGTAATGTACGAGAATGTAAAAAAAAACCTTGAAGACTCCAGGAAAGTTGTGGATTAAAGTGCCGAAAGAAATTAACCTACGCAATACCTGGTTAGAACTTGCTAAAAGTGATCCTGCAACTTTATCGACTCATAGTAAAATTTATTTTTGCGAAGATCACTTTGATGTAAGTATTCATTGAATAATATTTTAAGTCTCTTCATTTATTATCAGTTTTAATAATACAAGTTTTAAAGTTATGTATGAATGACATTTAGTTGTTTACTAAAAGAGACGTCACAATCATGGCGGTGGTGAACAGCGTTTTTAGTGTTTAAAAAGTATAGACTAAAAATTATTTTTTCAAATTAAATTTCTACAGCAATCTTCTGCTTTTATGAAGTGAAATCGATATATTTAGGTTCCCTAGACCAAATACTTTAAGAAATAAAAATTTATTTAATACAATTCGATATGAGTCAACTAGCCTATTCTGACATGATACCAGTCTCCTTTTCATTCTTTGTAGAGCACGATAAAGACTTACTATTGTCAAAGCTTTCTAGAACCCGACCCGTCTATCGTGCGTTAGGTTTTTTTTCGGCGGGAACCTAAGAACCTTCGAATAGGAAAGGCGCTCTTTGAAGATTTTTTTTGAATTAATTTTAATTTTCTCTTGTTTTGTTTATTCGTGTATAGTTTTCTGTAAATAGCATGCACCACTCACCGATCACTTTTGGCCGCGAGTGCCGTAGCCGTACCTTCCCTTTTTATTTTAATCTAAGTCGCCCTGAAAAAAACTGAACGGACTTCACCAAACCCAATATATTATGTTAAATTGGTATCGATTCTGCAATGGTTCTCTAAACTTAAAACTAAATTTAACATCAGTCTCTCCTTTTCATTATGTATAGAGAATGATAAGGATGCAGTTGTCAAATTTAAGTTTAGGTTTACAGAATCATGTCAGAGGCGACACCATTGTAATATTAAAAAGGGGAAAAATAACTAATGACAATGACGAGGCAGTATGGTAACAGACCTTAGCCTGTCCGAAAGGAAAAAAAATCTTATCTTTGTTGATTTTTTAAATTACAAACTTTAAAGTGAGGTGAGTTTTTGGCGGGATTTTATCGAGTGCGGTTCGGTTGGCGTTACAGTTTGTCTATAAAGTCTTGACATGAATGTTTGAGGAACTAACATTATTCATGTGTCTGGCAACACCAAACTTATGCACATCAGCTGTCATCGAGTTGAGTTGTGGAACAGTTTTCCTTTTGTATTTTTTATTGTTTTGATTAAACTGTAATAAATTAAGACGAAACTACGCAGAAAGGTATAAAAATGAGTAAAGTAAATTGGAGTGGCACGCATGAAGTGATTCTGACGACGTAGCCTGTAAAGGCTACGAAACGTCAATAAATAAATAAAGTTTCGTGCATTAATCCGTAAAAACTAGTTTTATTCAGTGATTTTTAAAGTTTTCCAGTGATGTTTCGCGGAGTACCAAGCTGGACGAATTTTGTGAGATTTGGTTGATGTTTATGGGCGAACAGCATCTATGACGAGTATAATAATAATAATTTAATTTATTTGCCAAAATACAGTTCACAAGTTAATACATTTTATGGAAGTACATGTATTCTACCTGCAGGCAGGTGTGCAAATATTGCAGTCAGCTATTTTGTCATCTGTCATATATTCCATAATACTATAATAACATTTTTTGAAGTTATACTTCTTTAGGCGCGTTATGAAAAAATGATGAGAGTGAAATTTTAAGATGCGCGCGCATCACTGTAACACAAAATTTTAACAGCATGAAGTTGGTCGCTTTAGCGACCAACTTCATGCGTTACTTTTGTGTTTACCGCACATTAAGAAAATCTACCAACAAAATAGAAATAGAATCTCTATTTAGTGGGTGCTAACGACTGCATTGTGAAGGCCTATCAAAAGTATTTATTAATCTGGAACAACGGAACCAAAGCGCGATTCAGGAGACTACAGCGCCATCTCTTGACCATTGGTGTAGTAGAACCAAAAACCAAATCTTTATTTTTTGTAATAAAGTAACAGTTATAGGTATTCATATTTATAATATTTATCCACATGTTTCTAGTTTGTATATTCGGAATACGTGTTTGAGTTTCATACAAGTGCAAATCACATATGTTCTAATAAATTATATTCAGTAGCGATTTTAATTGAATATTTTGATTATTTATTTATTTTTTCAAATTAAAACTGAACTTTATTGACTGTGTCCTTTTCCAGACTTTTTATTAATTTATTGTAATTAATTATTTGCATGCAATTAAAAACTAATTTTAAACGATGCCAAAGAAGGATAACTTCTCACGCGCCTACATAAGTACACGCACCCATTTTTTTTTGTAACCATTTTGTCAACTTAATTTTAAACATTGTCCCAGTTTCTAATTTTATATTGTCGGGTAATTTATTATATATACATATTAACATGTTATTAGCATTAAATATATGCGTGGCAAGGAGGCTGACATAATAAGTATCTATATTGACATCTCGTGTGTCTATTGCTCATTTCTACGCGCTTCTCGAAATACTTGCTGTGATCGCTGACAAATAAACATGCTTCCTTTATGTACATGCAGGGCAATGGAAGTATTTAATTTTTTTTAAATAGGGGTTAGCAGCTTTCAAGAAACCAAGCATAATCTAACATTCTAATACATTTTTTGCATCCTAAAAACCCTATCGATGTCTACTGAGTTACCCCATAAGAGCAGTCCATAATTTAAGGCGGATGAAACATAATTATCCGTGGTAAGCCGTTTGCGCCGCCTCTGTAGATACTGTTTGTCTCAACCTTTTGAAGGCAAAAACGAATTTTTCTATTTTCGAACAGACAGAATCGATATGACATTTCCAGTTTAAATTCTTATCAACAATTGTACCTAGAAATTTAAAAGATTCAACTCTTTCAATAAGAACCCTATTATGACATAGTTTAACAGACAGAGGTTTACTTTGGTAAGAATATCGTCAGCAAAAAGTACGAAGTCATTACTTATCATTTTAGGAAAATCGTTAATAAATAATATAAAAAATGATGGACGCTACCCTGCGGCACACCCCTTTCATTTATTTGTAGTATGTAATCGTGTTACTATTTGTTTGCAATCTGCCTGAAGTTACAAATTTACTCTATTTACGATTTTGAAACCAAAATAGGCATTGTTTACATTGTAAATTTTTAGGTTAGATTGACATTGTAAGTAGGTAATATTGTAGTACGACCATTTCTTTTGATACGCTGGGATGGTACTTACAACTCAGTCAGGCTTGCTACCAATTTTGAATTAATTGCTTCATGTCAATAAGTTATTGTTTCTATTCCAATACATATTTTTCTACTTTTTTTTCAGGAAAATCAGAGAGTATAGTTAGGCTATCTATCCAGTCAACGAAGGTTTTGAGAATGATGAAAAGTTTGAAACTACTGAGAAACAAAGGCAAGGCCGACCAAAGAAAGAACCATGGCCAGATGCTTTTAGATACCTATCACTAATTTTACTAACTGCACAATTACAAATTGTTTCTCCAAATAAACTTTTTATATACTATAAAATGATTTTTAGCATTATTTTCTTAACAAGTGTGTTAAAAAACGTCGTATGATACACGTGTGTATTGATGATTACCATCCTCGACTCTCTTAAGACCCTCACCTAACGGCTCTGGTCTCAATGTTAATTACCAACATAACACACTTGTACACAATAATGTACTTGTTTATCTATAATAATTTTATTCTGATTCAATTAAATATGCTTGGTGAAACTTTTTATAAGCATAGGTACCTATTGTATATAATATAGAAACAAAATATGACTGTAAAAACTTTTTATAAGCATATTTATTTATTATTTATTTATTTATTTATTGTGATAAAAACGACAAAGAGCAATTACATTTATCACACATTTACATTTTTAAGTTTCACACATTTTAAATGGATGTCATAATATGTCGTAAAACGTCAATATTAATATAAATAAATAAATAAATAAATATTTTCAACACACACACCAATTAGCCTAGCCCCAAAGTAAGCACTGTAAGGCTTGTGTTATGGGATACTAGGGTAACGGATAGAATACATATACAGTACATATATAAGTATATTTATATAGAAATACATATTAAACATCCATGACTGGAGTACAAATGCTCGTATTCATCACACAAACATCTGCCCCCACCGGGATTCGAACCCGGGACCTCTCGAGTCGGCGACACCATGAAACCCGGCGTACAAACCACTCGGCCACGGAGGTCGTCGGAGATAATATACTATAAATAGGGTAAGCATTTCAAATAAATATCATATGTTTTAACAAAAATTAATGTCAAGCACTATCCTCATTGTCAGCGCAAACAGTATTGCTCCATTGATCCGTCAGACTTTCACAATAACATAATAATGCTGACTTGATGGTAGACCAACTGTCAAAAGAAAAGTCAAATTCAGTGTTGGCGTCCCGGAGTGCATTGAGGTTACGCAATGATCTAACCAAAGGTGACATCGCACGCGCCACGGTGTGACCCCTGTTTTCGTGGAAGAGATTATGTTGCCGCGGAGGACCACGCCTGCGTTCCGGTGGAAGCCCAGGTTTGTCCGGGACAACCAGAATACACAAAAGATTGTGCAAGTGGAGGCAATCAACAGATCCTTTAAGCGTTTTCACACAGATGGTTAGTTGGTCGACGAGTCTTCGCACCTCGAGGGAATTGAAACCGAGATGTCCGAGTAAAAATTTTGTTGGGTACCGAAATGGATAATAGCCATAGGTTTTTTTGTAGAGAAACCTTAAAAAGGCCTTCTGTACCTTCTCCAGCATTCGCACATATGTGACCTGATGAGGGTTCCAGACACACGCACTCGATTCAAGCTTGCTCCTAACTAATGACGCATAAAGATTTTCCACAACCTTTGGACTCTGAAAATCCCTGGCATGTCGCAAAACGAAACCCAGACGACGGTAACACTCTTTTGTTAAACAAAATATATGATCGTGAAAATTCAAGTTACGATCGAACGTCACCCCTAAATCTTTAATACAGTTGATTGCCCTATTAATGGGAAAGTTGTTCATTTTATAATTAAAATGTATTGGTCTTCTTTTACGATCAAAGGTCATTACATTACATTTACTATGATTAAATTGCATTTTATTTATTAAGCTCCATTCTTGAATTTTGTCAATGTCATCTTGTAATCTAAGGCAGTCATCAAACGATTTAATGTTAAAAAACAGCTTTAAGTCGTCAGCATACAGAAGACACTTAGCCGCAGCCAATACCTTGGGTAGGTCATGAATCATAATAAGAAAGAAAAGCGGTCCGATCACAGAGCCCTGACTGACACCAGATCTAGTAGGGTACTCCGCGGATATATAAGATCCGTGCTTTACATATTGGCGACGATCTCTTAAGTAGTCAGAGAAAAAAGCTAGGAGATTGGGAGCAAACCCAATGGCAGCAAGCTTTTGCAATAATATGTCATTGTCAACTCTGTCAAAGGCTTTCTGAAAGTCAAAGTATATTACGTCAACTTGCAGCCCACTGTCCATGTCGTCAGAAATATAGTCAACCAAACATAGCAGATTTGTATTAACAGAACGACCCGGTCTGAAACCCTGCTGCTCA